ATAGTATATATATTTCTAAGTTCACCTCCTCTACTTTACTCCTTAGAAAATACTGAGATTTCCTATTTATTATTATCATTATCTTCTCTACTCACTATACTTGTAATTATCATCGATAATCAATCTACTCATTAACAAACCTTATATATTAATCATTTCTTTATTCTACTAAGTATTTTCTCGCTTCCCCTGCCCCAACACTTTATTAGAACAACTCTAGCTTTCCCCATGTTATGTTTCCACCCTTCTCTATATCCATTTTCTCTTTTTCTTCCCTCGATATTCAAGTTGGAAATTCTACAGAGTTGTGTATATAAATCCATCGCCCTCTCATTTATCTATCAACCAACAAATGCCTTTCCATTTCAGAATTGCATTATGCAGGAACAATATATATTAATTGTCTCTCGCTAGTAAATCTTACTATAGATATTCTATCCCTTCAACTACTCGAGTACCGATAGTGAATACAATTGCTTTTGTATAGAAACATATTAACTATATACTCATCATATAGAAAGTATAAATTTTGGCATCATCCTTAACATTGCCATTCCTCGTACATCATTATAATTACCTCAGGAAGTTCTTTAGTTTGATTATTTTTAATATTATCGTCACGGCTATTATTACTATCTATCCAATTATTGCACCGAAAACCACTCATTATATTCCACAAGTATCCTTCCTATCGAACCCCCTCCCCCCCAAATCTCTCCAATACCCAGAATCTCATCTCTCAATTCCTCCCTCTCTCATCTTTCCACTCCCCCAAAGAAACCTCAATATACAATACTCGTATATCCTCCACAATCAAAGTTCCCCATCATAACATCCATCCTTCTCTCATACTTATATTATCTCCCTCTCCCTCTGCCTCTCCCTCATCAACCAAGCTTATTTTCTCTTAATCCTTTCTCCCAATCCTTTCTCCTAATCCTTTTTCGTATAATAATCCAAATCCCACCATAACATAACAACATAACCAACTAACCTCATACTAAAGTACCTACCTACTCCAATACTCGTATAATTACAAAACCTCTTACAACTTCATACTTCATACTAAACCAAACTCAACTCAACTCAATCATCAAACAAGTTAATCCTCCAAGAAATACCTCAACTACGAGTAAATGTCCTTGTCCTCGAGAGTTCTAGACAAGAAGTCATGTTGATATATATCGTCCCGCGAGCCTGGATAATGTTACTTACACTTACATTTATTTAGTCATTAATCCTTTCTTTACTCGTTTGTCAAATACCAGATTATAAATACTCATCCTCGTTTCCTAACCTTATATATTCCACTTCTTATATCTGTTTTCTCTTTCTTTTTCTCTTTCCCATTTCCCATTTCCTATCCCCCCCCTTCATTTCCCATATCTATCTTTTACCTCCTCTCCTCTCCTCCACCAATACTCGAGTAAACACATCGAAATTCGCTCTCGCAACCTCCATATCCTCCCCCCTCCCTCCCCCCTCCCTCCCTCTCCCTCTCTCCTTCATCCCAACGTTAATTAAAGCTTTAGTTTTCCAAATTATCATATTATATTATATTATACTCACAAGTACTCGAGTATGTATACATAATTCACGCTCTAGAGTACATGTAGAAAAACTAGTTTTTGACTATATTTACATTTACATCCCTTCCCTCTCTTTGGCCTATTTCACTACTTTGCTATTTTACTTTCCCCCTTTCCCCTACTTTCTTTCACTTCACTCACCACTTCACTCACACTATCATCCTCACTACATCTAACTTCTAACTTCTAATTTCCAGAATGTCTTTAGATATGTATCTCATCCTATATCCTACTCGTACATCATATCCTACTCGAGTACATCCTTCATATATCCTATCATTACTATATATACCCAACCAAACCAACCTTATACCTATGCCTACACCTATATCTTTGTCAATACCTAAATTCGTATTCCCAAATTCGTATATTCATAACTTCATCACATCAACCACGAACCACATCTATCAACCATACAATTTACTCCCTACCCCTTTCCCCGTTCAGCACGCATATATATCCATATCGTATGTGTCCAATAATTTGTGCCACAAGACCAATACTACTTATTAGTCGCAAGATTTGCATCCCTTGATCTAAGCGAAAGACCCCTCCCTCCCTCACCATACCATACTCTGTACAACCCACCCTAAGAAACCATACTCCTCTCCTCATCCTCCCCCTCCCCGTCCCTCTCATTCATCCCCTCTCCATCCACCACCTTCTTCCTCCCTCTCCCCCTCTCCCTCCCCGCCCGCCTCCCCACAACCCCCACAACCCTCTTAACCCTCCTCCTAACCCCCAAATAAGCCTCCAACCCCACCAGCACCGCACAACTCCTACTAATACTCACCCTCCCCATATCACAGCCCTCCCCCCTCAAATTCCTCACAAACGCCCTAAAATTCGACACCGGCGGTCTATAATGTCCACTCAACGGCGACAATTTCGTCAACCTCCCCTCTTTAATTTTGATCAATCCCGCCGCACTAATACGACTTCCATGCAGAAAAGAAGAATGTTGAAACGCGCCACTTTGTTTAATACCAACGTAGAGACGAAACGAAGTATCGGCCACGAATATCCATGTGTTTTTCTTGACGGAGCCGCGGAGTAGTTTGTTGAAGATGGTGCTGGCGGATATGTGCGTGATTTTCTTCATGCCATGTTGCTGGGAGTAGGCGGGGGTTGCGTATTTGGCGGCGCGGGACTCTTCCTGTTGGGCTACGAGTTCGATTTCGGTTTCGGTTTCGATTTCTGAGTGAGATTGAGTATGTGTATGTGTATGAAGGGGAGAATCATCACTAGAACTCTCGCTTTCCTCCTCCTCATCCCCCTCATTATCTGCCTCACCCCCCACCGGCGAAAAAACAGGCGTCTCGTCTTCAATCCTCACAATCCCTCTTACACTATCCCTCCACTCGGTCGTCGTATCAATCCTCTCTCCATTCTTCGCCCAGCACAATCGTCCCTCCCCATCAATCTTAACCAGATAATCCAATCTCTCCTCCTTACTCAAATACCTCACTTGTTCCCTATCCAACCTCTCCCTCGGACATCCTTGACAATCGATAAATCTCCCCTCCCCATAATCCAACCAATAGAAGAAATTCTCCTTTGTATCCGCTTTTTTCCATTCTCCATGATATGTACGAAGATTCGATCCATATCTATGTTTAAGATCGACCATTTCGAGAAAATATTGTAAATCCATTATCTTCGCTGCTTTCTGTCGCAAGGACTTTTCTTCCAGACGGCGCTTTCGTCGTGCGGTATGTTCCTCTTCGTTTAAATCTCCTATATATTCATCCTCACCTTCTTCATCTGATTCCTCATCTCCGCCTGCTCGTCGAGCTATCATACCGATCTTCTTCCAATTTTCTCGCGCGTGCGATATTTTATCTTGTGTCGTGGGACTTCCTATAGCTCCTGCATTTATAGCCATATCTCCCCCTTCCCCATCCAAACCTTGACTTCCTCTCCTCTCCCCACTATCCCTCGCTCTCGGCGTTGTCAAGTTTCTATACCTAGCCTCCTTAATCGCCTCCACCCACCTAGTCCCAACATCCAATCTCTTCCCCTCCAAAATCCTCCGTTCCCTATGTCCTCTATAATTCCTCTGTATGAGTTCTGCCGCCTTCCTCCTCTCATCTTCACTCAAATTCGAATCATGATTTAAAGTTTTCGCGATCGCTTCGACTTCTTTTTGTTCTTGTACATGATTGATTTTTTGGAGGACCTCTAGTGGTGGCATGGCGAGGGAATTAATGTATTCTTGATGGGATTTGGTGGATGCTTTACTGGAGATACTGAGACGAGAGGTATGATGCGAATGTTGGGGATTTGATCGATCGTGAGGATTTTGAGGAATTGATTTACCCTGAGGGTATTCAATATTCCTCCTATTGTGATTTGTATTCGTCTTATCGTAATTCGTGTTTATTTTATCGTAATTCGTATTCGTCGTCGCAGAGCTCACAGGAATTATAAAACCGCCATTCAAAGTATCCTCCACACTTATTTTCGAATCGCATTTCTTATGATTCCTATTTCTCTTCCCATTCACTCCATCTATTCCATTCATCCCATCTATTCCATTCTTCTCATCAAATAACTTGTACTTATCACCATTCAAATCCGCAGTCGATATACCGGTATCCTCTCGTACGGGCCCTAAACTCCGCCTCGATGTATCTTTAGATATTAATATCGGAACATCGTATTCGGAACATGGCGCCGTAGTCAATGGAGGGGTCATTTTCATGATGAGTACTACCTAGGTATGTATTTCTTGGCGATCGGTTATTGATAAGAAAGGTCGAATAAATAAATATACGAGTAAATATATTCGAGTAAGTAGGATCTGAATCTGAGGTAATTATTTATATCTTCAACAATTACTTGAGTAAACAATTGGAGATTCGGAGTTCTTGATGAAGATTCACCTGATATGATATGATTCAATAGTAAGATACGTCAATGAATTCGAGTACCTAGTACATACAGTACAGTATGGATACGAGTGAGTACATATCCAAGAACATTCGAACAACAAGACAATGGAAAATCCGGAATGTCTCAAATGTCACTCTTTTCATTCCATTTGCAGAACGAACCTCAGAACCTTTTCTCACCTTGATATTTTCCCATTTTCCATCTTACCTTGATTCCATTCCACGCAACTTGTACATGATCCATCCCCAATTTTCAAGATTTGCATTCGGAATATAAAAATCAACAGATATTATAATACTCATCCATCCAATACCTATCATCCAACATCCATCCCAAATGCCAAAATCTTGTCGTATATATTACTCCAACCATACATCCATCTCGGATACGTACTGCCAATACAAATGTACTGTAAATACCAAGCACACCAAGTTTCTCTGACGGGACAATGACGTTGAATACTGTACATTGTGTAACTCCTTGCAGTTATTTCCGGTGGATAACTTTGCTAATTAATCCCTACGGACACCTCATGTACTTGTAGGCCATTCATTTCCTTATATATCTAAGACTTAAAGGATTTTTATATCAAAAGATAGATGAGATATATTATAATAAATCGAACAGGTTTTAAAGAAGGAATAGTATTTGAAATAGACGAATTTATTCCTTTAAACTTCTAGATTTTTTTTTAATATTATTCGGTAATATACCTATAAACCCCTGGAAACTAGGAGCTAGAAGTTATATATTGTAATCTTACGTATATATCCATTTCTATATTTCCATTTCCAACTACAACTATCACTACAACTAAGCAGGAACTACTTCGTTTCATTTCATTTCTTTTCTCTTCTCTTCTCTTCTCTTCAATCTGCTCTTTTTTTTCTTGACAAGATAGAAATAGTATATATACATAGGTAGCTTATTATATCATTTCAGAAACACATTCATCAGAATTCGAAAACAATTTGAATATATTGTATCGTATCATATCATATTATAATATATCTGAACCTTCATCCATCGACTGAGTCAATCAAAGTCATTACATACCCCCCCATATCGCCCATACACCATACCCCACATCCCATACCCCACACCTCCCTCATACCACACAAACTCTCGAATCCCTTAAAACTAGCATGGCAAGCCCTAGCTAAGCAACTCATATTACTTGTCTGCAAGTTCTCAGACCGATTTCCATTCTATCGATATCTACCTAGCTACCTAGCCCAAATCTTTGAGACAGCGGTATGGATCTACACAACATTCTTATTCAACCAATCTTCCCATTGCTCGGCGGTAAATGAACTACTAATGGAATTTTCTACAACCCCATCAAACTACAATATTTCGAATTAGTAAATCATTCCACTAATCACTTCACTTTCCTCCCCAACTCAACTCCCTCTTCAAGTATCCCAACCCCAAACCCCAAACCCTAAACAAAAACAAAAACAAAAACACTCACAACAACCGTAGGCGTAACATGAATACCCACCAGCCGATTCATCTTCACCAACACCTTAAGCTGATCCGTAACCCCATTCCCCGCATTCAACGACCCATCCTCTCCAGGTCGATCCCCAATCTTCAATAAATCAAACATTTTCCCCTCATCAACTCCAACTTCCCCTCCGATTTTCGCCAGACGCTTGTATGTAGCATTACGCGTTTCGTTCACGACATTTACGTCGAAGAAGGATTTTTGTTGTTGGAAGAGAGAGAAGGAGAAGGGGTAGAAGAGTGAGGGGGAGAGGTTGAGTACTAGATGTTGTGTTAGTGGTGCGTTTATGAAAGTTTAGCAATAGTCCACCTCTTTGCACTTTATTTATATATGGTTTTCCTTTTGGCCCTTTCATATGACCATATGATTTTCCAAACGCTTCTCAAAACTCAAGAAGAAGAAAGATAACATACCAGCAACCCCCGCCTCATGAACCAACGTACTACTCGGATGCCAAGGTTGAATGTGTTGACGAAAGATAATCTGTACTTTATCCGAGTACTTTTCCTTAATCAATGGCATGACTGATGTATAAATTGTGTTGAACATTTTGGCCGAGAACTATTTGAGATGAGGGTGTTAGTTTGTAGTATTTTGGAAGAGGGAAAGGTTTCCAAGTAGAAGAAAGATATAACAAGCCAACTCCATCCCAGCTACATTGTAAAAAAAACCTCCTGAAACCCAAAGATATAAATACTCTCCTCTCTCATCCATCCATCCATCCATCCATCCATCAATCCATACATTTACCAAAGCGAAATCAATACCGGAACTCTCAAACAGAAAAGCACAACACAATACATCAAACCCTTCTCCCCTCCCCCCTTTCCCTTCCTCTCTTTCCCTCCCCCACCAAAAAATCTCCCCCAAAAAAATCAGAAATACACACCGGACAAACATAATCCAAATACAATTCCAACGTATATAAATTCACATTTACATTTGCTTTTCCATTCGCATTCATAGCCACAAACCTCTGACCTGCGAATTTGGGTGGGAGAGCCATGTTATGATTCTATCTTTCTTTGTGAGTTTATGAGTTGGTGAGTTTGTGAGGATGTTCGTGAGGGAGGAGGGTGAAGGAGGAGGGGTAAAGATGTAATGAAGGGGGCTAATACGGTGTTAATATCAAGATCAGATCAGATCAGATTAGATGAAATGAAATGACGTGACCTTCCTTTGAATGTGGGGAAGTAAGCTCGTTAGCTTCTTCCCCAATAAATATTCATCTCAAAATAGGTACCTATAGACATTCCATCCATCTCAAATTGAAAGTTTGAGTTGAACAATTGGGACGATGTTATAATATACATTACGTATATGTTTTATTGAATTGTATATCTGGGTTTCAATATAAGTTACAGATAATTGTATAATGAAATCAAATCAAATATCTACCTAGCACCTACTCGAGTAGTAGTTCAAATACTAACTCCCTCTCTCCCTCCACTTTATAAACATTAACACACTACCTAGGTATACTACTCCAGCTATACAACATAATCGACCTACTGGTATTCCATTCCATTAAAGGTATACTCGCTCATATATGGTATCCAATTCCAATTCGCATCCCAAAGACGCTACTCGTATTCAGACTCCATATACATAACCAAAACCAAACACCCCATCCTTGATATATAATATAGAACATTATCCTTTCTCGTCTTGACTCCCTATGAAAAGAGGAATTCCTTCAATACAGGCGAGCTTGAAAATTCGGGGTTGAGTAATATACAACTATTCTCATCGTTAGCCAAATGTGCTTTATTCCACTCATCCTTTTCATCCTTTTCTTCCTGGTTCCTTCCCTTCCATCTCTTGCTCCTCTTCCCCACTCCTCTTCCCCCCTTCCTTCTCTTACTCCTAATCCCCCACTCCTCTTCCCCCCCTCCTCCCATCTCTCCCCATTCCCACCGAGAAAAAAAACAAACAACGACTCACTTAAAAAAATACTGCAAACCCCCCTCCTATTCTCCAAAAACCTCGGTCGAAACTTCGATATCACACTCTTCCTCGGCAATTCCGGTATCGTCCCCATCGAATTAGGAAATGTACTTAAAAGTTTCCTTCGTAAATCTGCGAATTCGCTGTAGCGTTTGCGGATTATTATTGGAGTGCCCTATTTAAGTTTTATACCTATTAGCATATACATTCTCGCCCTGGAAAAACCCCTTGTATTCAATCCATTCAATCCATTCCACATCAACAAAATAAAACAAAACAACATATAACATACCTCCAGCGTATCAACCCTCACATTCCAAACAACAAAAGCCCCAATCCCAATATTCGCCAAGCTAAGCCCACCAATACTACTCCCAATCCCCGTCCCCTGCACAATCACATAATCCTCAATCAATACACTGCGCGCCCAACAAGCTTCATTCTTTCCATATCCGCTCGCCGCGCCATCGGTATCAGTAGTGTTGTCTTGGAGCGTGATTCCGCTCGCATGATTGGATTCGATTGAGATGTGGGAGAGGGAGCGCGTGTGCGGGTAGGGATGGGATTGTTGCCAGTAGGGGGGAGATGTGGTGGTGGTGGAAGTAGAGGTCGTAGAAGTGGGTGAGGTGGGTGAGGTGGGTGAGGTTACGAGGTTTGCGCTTGGGGAGGAAGGATGAGAAGGGATGGGAGAAGAGTTGGTGAGGATACCTGACTTGGTAGGTTTAGAATTAGGGTTAGAGCTAGAGTTAGAATTGTTTAATGGATTGCCATTGCTAGAATGGTGTATAGTAGCGGACTCCATCCATCCATCTATCTATTTCGAAATGGCTGTGCCACTCGTGCCACTCAGTGTAAGAGAGTGCTGACAATAATTCGTACTCTAGGTATGTAAATGTTGAGAGTGGCCAAAAATGCTGTCTGTGGTTGATTTTGAGAATTACACTATGAGAATACTAATATTAAACTACTAGGTATTCTTGAGCCTTGAGGGTTGTTTGGCCCGGACCGGTGGTTCTTCTTAGTGACAAGCCGATGCATTATCCTTGTTTCCCCGCTTTGTTCGTTTGGGTACTTGGGGACTTGGGGACTCAAAGGGGAGACGCCAGGAAAGGAGATACTGTTCAGTTTGTTTTTGAATAATATTTGTGAATGTTATTACTGTAGCAATTTTCCCGTATTTGTTCTTTAGATTTATCTATTGGGTAGAGTCTTCAGAAGCTCCGTTATTCTTATACGATTTAACGACGCCGTTGTCATGTATGATGAATACGATGGTTACGATATTGACCGAATCATAAGATAGATAGATAGCTAGCAAGTTGTAGCACATGAGTTTTGATTTGTTAAACAAGAGCAGGCACTGGGCAGTCAGTCCACTTTCAAGATACGGTACATTATATCTGATGGACTATTAAGCTTATTGAGTTGAGGAGAAAGAAGCTTGCTGGAGTAGGTAGGTATCAATTAAGGATTTGGTGGAACCGCTCTTGAGCGATTTCATATCTATCTATCCCATCCCATTCTCGAAGTCGAGGGAAGTGAAGTGAAGTGACAGATGCAAGTTGGAACCAGGATTCGTGGGTACAACATATATGTCTTATAGTATTACTCGTACGGTAGGTAGGTAGTACAGTAGCGGAATATCGGGATAAAGGGTAGAAGAATCTCAGATGAAGTAGAAATGTAAGTGTACAGTGTACAAAAGGCAGAGAGACAGATTCAACGGATGTATAATATCTTCCCAACCTCATCTTAGATATGTCGGTAGATACTTAGAGACTGGATGTGAATAAAATGTTATGGTTTCTTAGTTGTCGGTTGGTTGGTTGGTTGGTATAGGTAAGAATGGGGGGAAGAAGGAAGGAGAAGGAGGTTGAGGAGGATTGATGAGAATTGATGGAAGAATTGAAAGATTATTATGAAAGACAAATCCCCATCTAACTAATAAGTAAGTCTTCAAACTTCTTATTCATGCAGATATACTTAGTTTAAGACTAGTCAATACGAAGAGAAGTATCCACCCCTCCAAAAGTAATGGGTGTGAAGTGTACTTAGGTAATTCTTAAGATAGTAACAAAACTCGGAAAGAAAGTTGTGCATCTACAAGTACGGATCTGTATCTATCCCAATGTAGTTAATTATAATACGATGTATATTCAAAGGTTTAATGAAATTGAATGATTCAATTGGTTAAATCAATAAAACTAAACTAAAACAAGCTTAATTTGATCGACTAGGATTATTACTAGCTCTATCTTGGTGTGCACTTGCAGATGGAGGCGCTTTTATATTATAGATTGACCTCCTCTTTTCTATCCCATCTTCTCTTCTTCTTCTTCTTCTTTCCTCCTTTCCTCATCTCTTGTATCTTCAAAATACCTTCGCTTTTTGTATTTACATTAATTCAAAATTCATCTACGGATTTTAAAGAATTCATTCGTTCGTTCGTTCGTTCAGTTCTTCATATTTCTCTCTGCAAGGTAAACAAATATTGATTCCTGGTTACATTCCCAATTTGACAAACGGAAATACTTCTGTCACCACTTTTCGAAATTTGGAGCAACATCTCATTTCTGAAGAAAGATTCAAGACTGACCTTTGGTGTTTTTATCTTGTAGATAGTCTCATCCTCAAAATACATTGTCAAAACGAAAGACTTCGACTTTAACTTCAATCTCGATCTTCTACCGCAAAGTACCTCTTCATCACCAAACAATTCAAGATGCTATCCTTCAAGACCTCTACTGCTCTTGTTGCTACCGTTCTTGTTAGCTTAACAACTGGTCAATATTCTATTGATCCTACAGAAGTTTCATTGCCGACTCGTGGTATGTTTTACTTCCCTTCATTGACTTTACATCTAAGGAAAATATACTAATCCATCTCCAGAATCATGGTGCCAATCACAAGTTCAAAATTGTCCAGCACTTTGCATGCAAAACAGTACTGGTAGTACCACCACCGAAACCAACACTTGCGATGCTGTAAGTACATTTCATTTTATCCTTATTGTATTTCCAAACCTCAAATTCGAGCATGACTAATTTAATAATAGGCAACCCTCAATTATGCATGCGTTTGCGGTAGTGGTATCTCACCAAATGCTTCCGAATACTCCCTTACCCTCCCCTACTTCATCTGTACCCAATTCACTAGGGATTGCACAGTTGCTTGTGTTGGAAACAACACCTGCCAAGCAGCATGCGTAGATGACCATCCATGCGGAGCTCAAAATCCTACTCGTATCAATACCACCACAAGTGCAACTCAAAGTGCGACGGATACCGCAGGAGCTTCGAGCACCAACGCTGTTGCATATACTGGTTTAGGTGGATCGACATCAACATCTATTCCTAAGAGTGGTGCTCAAATGACCATTGATTTTGGAAGATCATACGGTCTCGCCGTTGTTTTTGCAGGTGTTTTTGCGGGTTTTACATTGGTCATGTAGATGGCTTGACGTGGCGGAGTGGGATATGGGTCGGATGGTTGAGTCTGCAGGACATCATATCATACCGTCTCGTATGATCGATATCTACATTACATATGGATGGACAACAGACCAGTTTCGATATGGTGCTCAGGTGTTTTTGAAACTTTAGCGATCATTCAATGTGCGTTTTGTTTTCCTGCTTTGGTATCTTCGAGCGTTGGTTTCGTTCTTGCACATAGGTACACATACACATTACAATGTCTATCATCCATCCTGGATACAAACAAGGATATATTAATGGAGAGAGCTTGAATAGTAGCTAGTACATACTTACTTGGGTTACTATTCGGTTCGGTAATGAAGGAGAGGCAAGGGTCTAGCTAGCTAGATCTTTTCAGATAGAAGACAAGAACTTGCCGTACTTCTGGCTACAAAATAGAAGCCAAATGCATAAATCTGATGCAACGCAATGCAATACAGTTTTACTCAACTCAATTCAAAACAAACGCGATGCAATCAATGTATGATATGATATGGAGTGATGCATTGCAATTGAGATCAAAGTAATGGATAAGAACATAGGCAATCAAAGGTCAACCAACCCCCCTTTTTTCTTTTTGGTGTTCGGGTGTTGAGATTTATGTTTGTTAGTACTATTTAAACCCCCTGACTGGTCTGGTATGTACCGTACCGGTAATCCAAAATATTAGCACGTGTTAACTTTCCCCTGAACAGGATAGATATTACCGGTAGCTTCTTGAAGATTTTCCTTCTAGAACTTTATTTCTAGAATTTGGGATCTTTTTGTTTTTATTCTTGTTCTTGTGCATACCTAGGTCCTTTACTTCTCTTCACAACACACAATACACAACACACTTCACTCAAACCTCAATTGATCCTTCACTCCCATTTACAAACACTCATCCATCATACCGGATACCATCGGCACGTCATTCAGCCCGATTCAGGATCAATCACATCTACCAACTGTAACCTTTGGCCGAAAATTCACCCACCACTTTACATACTTTTGCATAAGAAAATTCGCAAGGGAGGAGCGGATTCCACCCACCACGTTGACAAAATTCGCGAGAAGTTTGAGAATTTGCTGGCTGTGAATACGGCTTCAGCAAGAGAATTTTCGGAGGAGTTACCGTTGCCGGTTACGACGCCTAATTCGACGAGGGATAGAGGGATGATGATGGGGCCTACTAGTAAAAGTATGTATTTTTGTGGTTTTGTGGTTGTTTGATACCTGGGGGTGAGTGGGGTTGGGGATTGGGGATTGGGGAAAGAGAGGAGAGGACGGAGAGGATAATGGGGAGGGGAGGGGAGGGGAGGGGTGATGGGGGCAGAATGTGCGAGGTAGAGGCTGGGGCTTGCATATGGATAGATGAGAGGGGAGGGCAGAAAGAAGAGCTCCGCAGACTTCTGGGAGGCAAATAAGAGAGGGCAAAAATAGGAATGATGAGGAGAGGAAGGAAATATTGAAAAGAGAGATCAGAAAGCTAACGAACACTCCCCAAAACAGAAGAAGCAGCGCATGAATGCGTATCGGAAGAAGCGCTTGTGCACCTGAAATCGTACAAATATTCGAGTGTGGATAAGAGCTTGATTTCGAATTACATTTTGAAGCATTATGTATGTTGGATATTATCTATCTATTTTTCTGGGCATTTCCCACCGCCATCGAATTTCCAGAATACCCTTCTTCTTTGCAACTCCCTAACCTCGACCTGTAACGGAGACGTGGAAAAGAAAAAAAATACACATTTCGAGCGCAGCGAGCTTGGGGGTTTGGGGGCTTGCCCCCATGAAGAAATAGAGCTGAAGAAATGGAAAGAACCAGACTAACAGACAACATAGTGGAATGGCTTTGTCGAATTATTGCCATTATGGTTGGCGCCAAATATGGTTACGTTATTGGGATTCTTTTTCATTCTGAGTAATGTGATTTGTTTGGAGATTTGGATGCCGGATTTGGTGGGACCTGTATGTTCTTCTCTCTCTTTTCTCTTACTTCTCCCTATTCTTTATCTATTCACCCATATGTGAATCTGCAAAGAGCATGACAGTAACTAATAAGATTCATAGGGACCATCATGGTTATATTACAGTTTTGCCTTCGGATTATGGATGTATTCAACAATGGATAATGTTGATGGAAAACAAGCTCGAAGAACTGGAACCTCCAGCGGTCTCGGTGAACTCTTCGACCACGGAATCGATTCTCTGAATTGTACACTCGCATCTCTTTGCGAAACGGCTGCTATGGGATTAGGTACATCTCGAGCTGGAATCTTCACTGCTTTGATTCCTTGTTTACCCATGTTCTTTTCTACCTGGGAAACATATCATACGCATACATTATACTTGGGGGTTTTCAATGGACCAACTGAGGGGTTAATCATGGCTTGTACGATTATGATCCTCAGTGGATATTATGGACCGGAAATTTGGACACATCGAATTACGGATCTGATTGGCCATCATTACTTCCTAGGATATCATGAATATTTCGGTTCTTATTCCGTTAGAGATCTCTGGGTTCCGATTCTCGTCGGCTCGTTATTCTGTATCCATGTTCCGTTCTGTGTCATCAATGTCATCAAAGCAAGGAGAAGAGATAACTTACCCGTCTTGCCGGTTTTCCTCGAATGGACTCCTATGGTTGTTTTCACATTGAGTATTGGTGCTTGGCTTTACTCTCCCCACTCAACACTCATGACCGAAAATCGTTTGGTACTTTTTTGCCTCACGATGAGTTTTGTCTTTGGAAGAATGACGACGAAAATTATCCTGGCCCATCTCACGAGACAACCATTCCCGTACTGGACAGTAATGCTCACACCACTTGTCGGCGGTGCTATCCTGGGTAATCTTCCACGATTCGGCTTACCGGCTGTTAGTGTGGCAGTCGAATTGTGGTACCTGAGAGCTTACTTTGTCTTTGCATTTGTGGTCTATTTTAGATGGGCTTGGTTAGTGGTTACTAGTATTTGTGAATATTTGGGCATCAATTGTCTGACGATTCCGGAACAAAAGTTGGAGGAGATTTATAGAAATAATGAGATGATGAAGAAGTCGAAGAAAGGGGAGGAGGTTAATGGGAGGAGGACACCAAGTGGGAGTGGAAGTGGAAATGGAGTGAAGAGTTCAAATGGGGTGCCGAATGGGAAGAGGGCTGATTAGAGGAAAGGGGGGTTGAGTTTAAGTTTGAGTTTGAGTTTGAGTGATGGGGGAGGGGGATGGGGGGTTGGAAATGATGGATTTGTTTTCATCTATGGAGTGAGATCTTTTCCTTGGGACTTGTCTTGGTTCCTGAATAGAAAGAAGATTGAGTTAGGCCTGAATAGAAGAGTCTGGATCGATAGATATCATTATGCATGCATGCATACATGCATGGATTGAGATGAGATGAGATGAGATGTTTAATATCATATTTTCGAACCTTTTGAATGTGGATATTGCATTTTCGAATAAAAGTTGATGATGGATGGATGGGTGGTATTTTGTGAATTGGTGGATTGGTGGATGTAGGTAGTTAGGGATACTGTGGAGTACACGGGTGGATTGTGGGTTATGGATTAGGGTTATGGATGATGGACTAGGGTTATGGATAGCTGGTGGTGATGAGTAATGAACGAAACATTCTTTTGAGTGTTATGTGAGATGAGATGAGATGAGATGAGATGAGGTTATATGAGGTTATCGAATGGAAAATTGGGATAGGTGGGTTGGGGTGATTTGGATGGGGTGGAACAAGATGGATGGATGATGGAGATGGATGGTTGGGATGAATGGATGAATGGATGAATGGATGAATGGATGAATGAATGAATTGGATAGAGAGAAAGAAGGCGGAGAGGAGGTGGGAAGATGGTGGAGAGAGGTGATATAGGATATGATTTATGAAGATAGAAAGATAGGAATATAGATGAATAAATAGAAAAGAAGAAAGAAAGAAAGAAGAGTTAGGTTGTAATATAGTGTAGTATTAATAAGAGTGAATGAATAGAATATAAAGTAAAATAAAATATAGATATGATTGGCTAGTTTATTAGTCATCAATCCATTGAGGACAAGTATTATGTTCCTCGCTTAAAACCTTAATTTAATCTTGATCTTTTATCTCTAAATTTCCCCCTTCCCCCTTCCCTGTTCCCTTATTCTTATTTAACAATAATTGGGAGTAAAGGTTCCACAAATTCTTAGGCAAAATCCCTTTCGTGTTTCATATCTTACTTATCTGTTCCTGCCGGTCCCAAGTACAATGCGCTTATCAAAACTTCGATTCGAATCCTCCCTCCTGTTAGGCCAGAAAAGGAAGGCTTGAGGTGAGGGTATCGGATAATCACGAAAGGTGGGGATTTTCGATTCAAATGTTTTCAGAGCCTCTTACCTTTTTACTTTCTTTAAGCCAACGGGATGGATGTCGTTTATATATAACATATAACCCATATTGGTTCAAGGTTATCGGGGAATGAATACTGGATCACCATTTGGTCAATCTACAGTACCATGCCGAGTTTTGGGGGGAAATTGAAAGCAGAGTGACAGGGGCAGGCATATGGGACCCATAGAATCCTTCACGTACAATACCTAGGTTGGTTAGTGTACAAGGTAATGGTAAGTCTTGTTGACTGACTCCTTGAGATTTGGTTGATCATTCTTTTTCCTTCTTCTCACTCATTTCTAGCTTTTTCAAACTCTTTTACATCCGTTTTCGATCAGATATACATTCACTACTGCCGCTTTGTTTACACATCAATTCTCATATCATATATGGGAACGATCATTCAGAAGCTAGTATCGGATTAGATCTCTCTAGACTCTTTCATATTTCACCGCACTTGATATCTATCTATTCCATTATTCAGCTTCAATCTGTGTCACGCTCTTTTCTCTTCAACATCGCCTTTTTCATATCTTCCGCTCGTTCCTGTTGATATATCGAATCGGTCCTCACAGAAATAATGGATTTACGAATATCAATAAGAAGATCATTCTTATTATTCTGTTCTTTTTCCTTACCTTTATTAGCATCAGCTTCAACAACAGATACACCAACAACATGTTATGTTATCGATGGAACACATAATTATAAAGCAGGATATAGATGCGATAATTCGACAACAGGACATAGTTCATGTTGTCAAGCTGGAGCTATATGTTTTTCAAACGGTGTTTGTCAACAAGCAAATGGAAATGCTCAAGATTATTTGAGAGTGGGATGTACAGATCCTACATGGAAAGATCCATCTTGTTTAAACCAATGTACTATTTGTAAGTTATAAAAGTACGTGATTAGGTTGAGAGTACTAATAGAACTTAGATGCTAGGGGTTCAACGGCTGGTATAAGATTTTGTAATGGAGCTATTACATCAACAACTGAATAGTATGTTGTATCAATCAATCGATTCTAGCATTTCCATTACTGACCCAAAAAAGTTGCTGTGATCCCGGAGGCAATGGAGTAGGAAGTTTTGCCTGTTGCAAAAATGATACAAATATCTTCAACATCTCACCAGTAGCCACAGTCCTCGCCCAAGTCCCCCTTAATTACGTCTCATCTTCCACATCCTCCACATCCACTTCCTCAGCTTCAACCTCAACAACTACATCAGCCTCAAACACAATAACAACATCCTCCGCCTCTGAAACATCTACCACAATCCTCTCTTCTCCAACCTCCACCTCTACACCCCACACCGCGGCCATCGGCGTCGGCGTCGGTATTCCCTGCGGAATCCTCGCTTTAGGTCTCCTTGGATATTTCTTCTGGAGAAGAAAGCGTGCGCAAAAAATTGATCACGTTCCTAAAAATCATGAAGCGGGATATCCAGCTACAGAAGGGGGATATGATACACAAGGAGAGTACACAATTGTGCAAGGAGAACATAGTGCTAGCGCTAGTGAAATAGGATCGGGGTATGCTAGGGGTAATTTGGGGGAAGTGGTTCGGGATGACAAGAGTTATCTTGTGTCGTCGCCGCTGAGTGAGATGGAGGCGGGGAGGACGGTGCATGAGATGGATGGGGGTGGTGTTGGGGGAAAGAGGTGATGTGGTGTCGGGAGGAGGTGAGATTAAGGTTTTAGGTTTCGGGCGGATAATTGAGGGAGAGGGTACGCGGGGTATATTGTATGCCGAGAGGCAGGGAGGATAATAACAAAGCAACCTCATGAAAAGAAATGGGAGGAGTGGAACAAATGTATTAAATGTACGAGTATGGTACAGGGGCAAGATTAATGAATATTATGAATCTGTACTGAATAAATAGAGAGGGAGGGGAGGAGAGGAGGGTACATCAATCCTTATCTTCTCTTATTTACTAGTAGATCTTGAACATTCTGTGAGAGAATGGAAAATCTATCTTTCTTAAGCTAGAATGAGCTGAAGTCACGAGAGGGGGGTGGAGTATACTATTCTATCTCTTTTTGATTATACTCGAGCATATAAGCATAGTATTAGTATTAGTATATAATCTTGTATACTTATATATTATAATTAATATATTCGTCATCCTCATTTAATAATACTCAGTAGTAGAGCTTTCATAGATTAGCCGTCTAGTTTTTAATCTTCTTGCTGCAGACCATATAGCAATCAATATATATAGCCCAGGTCCTACGACGTGCGTGCCACCGATCCCTCATTAGAGGAGACAAGGCTATATATATCATGGTATGCTGTCTGATTGATTTGTTGATCAAGCAATACCAGGATATGACGCGTTATATAACTAACTGGATGTCTGATTTTCATGAGATTGGTATTTCATAACTTGAAGATTGGAGTTTGGAGTTTGTTTTGAAATCTGCTAGTGGACTTCTTTGAGGGTTTTTTTTGGGGGTTATTGATATATGGGTACTCGAGTGGGATGTATTGATGTATGTTGTTGTTATTGTTATTGTTATTGTTATTGTTATTGTTATTGTTATTGTTATTGTTATTGTTATTGTTATTGTTATTGTTATTATTGTTTTTGGAAAATTATATTTTTATTTGGGTTTTTTTAAATATCTGTTGTTATTATAAGTATAGAAATATTATTTGCTTAATTTATAGATTATACATTGCTATTTATACGAATATAGGAAATAGTACGAGTATGGTGTTTCAAACTATCACGGTACAGTACTTTAACTTCACAATGTTGGGGGGGGGGGTGGGCGGGGGGGGAGATTGGAAGAAAAGAAAAGTACTTGAATAATCTATAAAAGTCTTCCTGTAATTTTGTTCTATTGTTGTAATGATCAAGCGATGCACAGGGTTGAGAAGTGAAGAAGGGAAGAAGGGAAGGGGATATTATATAATTGGGATATACTATACGTATCTACTGAGTAGTTTCTCGTCACTATGTTACTTGTACTATATACGCCGATAATAGATATCTTCTGGGCTTGACATTAAAGTGCGGATATGTGGTGGATGTGAATATGTGAATGGATAAATGACCTAGATATTTAGAATTATTATTATTTTAGTAGATGTACATTTGGAGTGTATAAATATACCTTTCTTTGATTTACGCGAGTAACATTTCTTCTCTCATTATGAAAATCAATGTCGGATTATCTCAATTTCAAGGTGTAATTAGTGATTTCAACGCTAATAAGTCTCAATACCAATTCGTTGATCTAAGTGCTGATATATCAGCATAATGAGTATTGGTAGTTGATAGTTTTGTTTTGGTAATCTATTTGATATAGTATTGTATAGTATCTTATTATCATTTAATGAATTGGAATCATATTGTCATGTCTGATGAATTATTTACTGTTGTTCATTAATATCAATTCTTTGATTTGATAATTAGATTGTGTATTGTTTGATTCATTATACGAGTACTCGAGTATAAATATAAACTCAACTCTGAGATTATTCTGATGTGTTTATAGGAAGAAACATATGATATACACCACACACATATAGTCTCGGCCGAAAATATGCATCATATATGATATGGTATTACTGAGTACAGGGGAATGAAGTTCTTATATACCTCAAGATTTATATTGTTATTATACAGATGTATATCAAATATGATATAACATGGGAGGAGGTATGCTTATATATCCGAGTGCACATCGTAACCTTTTGATAGGTGTTACGAAGGTGTATGCAGGAGAGAAATAGCTCAATAGGACAACATAGGATGGAAAAATATCACAGTATATCGAGATTCGTATAGAGAATATGAAAGAAGCCTTTTATTAATTAGACATACACTACGCTTATGTTACCTATCGATAGTATAGCTAAGACTCAGATCTTTTACTAGAACTTGACGACGTAGAGGCGATGTATATTGCACCGGAATTTCAGATAATTTCAATTGACTTTTGAACGTATAGTACCTATTATACATGGCTTTTCAATTCATAATCTGTAATTCCATTCATCGTCAAAACATCATGTTCTCGCTAGTAACAAAAATCTGTCATTTTCATTACCTGATTCTCATTACCTGTTATTACCGCCGCCCCCGTTCTATTCTTCGCGGACTTGTCACTTGCACAGTTGCTAAATGAAAAGGGTAGTACCTCTACATCTTTATAATCCTGCTAGCAATAACAATTTGCAGGGAAATGAGAAATGTAGGAGTTCAGGATGATTCAAGCATTACCTAGGATTTTGTCGAAATTCGTTTCACGTTATTGCTATGAAGATAAGAGCGTGTCAGAGGTTGAGTTCTTATATGCCTCAATACATCTTTATTTTCACTCTCAAACTCGATTCACTTTTAGCAGTATTCGAGAGTAATTAGCTTTCCACGGAAACCTATTGGAGCACATTTTTACTATAAAAATGGAGAGAACCTCGTTTACGAAATTCGTTGATGTACTGATGTATCGAAGTCCGCGATTTTATCGACCAGTATATTTTGGTGTAATATTTACTGTACTATATTAGACTCGTGTTTGATGGAACAAAATCTTCTATTCAAAACAAAATGAACGTTTGTAATCGTTTCCTCACAGGGTGCTACAGTACGAGTATGAGAAACATGATTCTCGCTTGAAAGTTTTGCTGGAGTCAGGGACCTATCTATGCATGCAAGTTTCTTGACAGTAATTTCTCTTGGTTGTAAGATTACCTTTTTGCCGTCACAGTTTGACATCACTATTTTCGTACTCATACTTGACTAATCTAATATCATTGTATTGTCATTTTAACTATGTGATTCATGTTATTTTCATCGACTATTACAAGATAATCTCATCGATGTTGGGAGCAAGATACGTTATCCCAAGCAAACTTTTTTTATTTGTCAATACATGTAAGTTACTATATCTTGTCCTGTACGTGTGCCAAGCGATGCCACGGAAGCGACCTAAGTTATGTGTGATGACTTAGGGATCTTATTAAATAGGAGGAGGTTTATAATTCCGAGAACATGGTATCAAGGGCTATCCAGAAATATAGAGAAATAGGTGAGAGTGAATCCTTGATATCACTACTAAGCTGGACTTCAGCTCCATTTCAGGAAGTCTAGCTATCGTCTTTTGTGAATTTTATTGGCAGTGTGGATCCTTCTGGCTATCTGATATTGTCATGGTTATGATGTACATACAAACTTTTGATATATAAGGCAATGCCTATCTTTCAGTTGGAAGTTTTCCATATATAGATAACGGAAAGTCAATGGATACTTGAGTATGGACGGTATCTAAGTGCGTAAACTCTTGAATAATGGTCCGGCTTTGATTTCATAGCATTTGGTTGGTTGATTCGTTATTTTTGGTTCCTCTGGCGTTTTTGTCACGGCCGTTTGTCACACTGTCACGTTTATATTTACATTCTCTTACATACCAAACTTTATAAGCCCAGACTTATTATCATCCCAAACTTGTAATCGTTGTAGAGTGATATGAATTCCTATTGCACATTTTTCTAACACCAAAACTATCAAAGTAACTTCAAGGAGTGGTTTGCGAGGGAATATTCGAGAACATGCATCTAGCATATTGCTGTGCCACCACAATTCCCCTGAAGGTTGTATAGCCGAGACTCAATGCTGAGAAATTGACAAGTGCTTATATAGTGATTAGCATGTTTTGCGAACTCATAGTAGAAGGGAGAAATTAGTGGATCCGAAAGTTTGAATCTCCAGCCACGAGATGGATATAAAATAGAAAGTGTCTCTCCAACCCAATACAGTATCGAGAGAATGGTTCCAATCACACTCCAAGGGGGTTATATGACCATTTGCCATGGCGGATGTGAAGGACTAAGGTCCAAGAAAAATTGAATGTGACCGGTTATGGTGAGCTTGAGCTATGTAATTAGTATAAGAAATGTGCTTGTGGGTTGTTTTCAGTATATTTGCTGATCAGATGTGATAACTCTTGTTCTTCGTTGGCTATTGCACTTTGCTGTTGTCGCTGTCATTGCTTCAACTTGTTAGTTAAATCTATCGTATATACCTACCTTTATCCTCTTTACTAGTTTTACGTCTATATCTACTCGATTAGGCATGAAATATGTTTTTCCCTAGAGCACACATAAAGGTGGGAATGGTGATTCTCAGAAAGCATTGAATGTTTAATAGGGTTGAGAGAGACGTCTTATACTAGGTAAGTTTTAAATGTTCTGGGAAGTTGGAAGAATGGTACAGTAGAAAGCAGACTAAAGAATAGAGTTAGATATCAGTAAGGTAGGAATAGTTTCAGCTATAGACAAATTGTATAAAAAGGGCCTACTTTGTATGAAAGACCATCAGAAAAGCCTAGATCGCAGCATGCTCAGATTCTTTTTTATGTCACCTGGAGATAGATGCGCAAGCTCGACATCTCAGTATAGATCATACCAAGAAAAGATGGGCGATGACAATGATGAAAGAGAAATGTGAGGTGTATTTGACAACAAAATTTGGCAATGTTTGGCAACAAATTAAAGCTGATTAGCAGCTATAAAATTGGACAGATTCTGGAATATATCTCCTGGTACGTGACAATAGAGGCAGACATCTAAATCACCAAGGGGTGATATAAGACTAATTTGTCGGTAGATTGCTTAGACTCGATCATCCCTTCCTAAGAAGACCGAATGGTATACAGCTTGAATCATCTTGGTGTTAACATTATCTGCGTGACTCCTTTTATAGGGTTGAGTTCAGGAGGAGAAATCAGGTTCTTGCTCACACTACGATATTGAATATATTGACCCAAAGGAATGTTTTGTGAAGGAAATTTGTTTTTCTCATAGTTGTCAATGTATAAAAGAGGTGATATATTTCATATAACGACATGATACAAAGGACCAATGGAAAACCTATTTGCATGGTTTAATGTGAGGGACGCTCTTGGAAGAGTGTGATCATGAGTATATGCAAAAGAAAGCAAGAACTTAGTAATCTACGTGTTCGGTGTGAATCACGATTTTAAAATGGTGATGAAATTTGGGAAACAACGATGAAATTTTAATGAGAAAAGCAACAACAATGAAAGAGGGTCCTTAGGTGGCGGAGGCTGTTATTGGACAAATTGCCATGTACTCCTCCAGCAACTAACAACGTTTCTTTAGAAGGGGTATCGTGATATGCCATAGATAGATTGATGAACCGAAGAACTTTATGATTCTCTCATTCTCAAACTTTATACTCAACTCTGACTATCTTCATCTTCAGTTAATCAGAGGCTTCTGCCTTATAACACTTATCACCCGATAATTGGAATTCTGACTCTGCTGCCATAGTTGACGCTACTACCACAGTTTTAATATCCCCTCAATATCGCTCCCTGAATACTTTCAACCATTACTTTATCTCTCTTATCGATCTTGAAAATATTAGCTATAATAATATACAATTTTAATAGTGAAATTCACATTTTACGATGTTTCGTCGTGTCCGCATGCAGCGACGAGGTACAAAGTATTTCGTATCTGTCCCCGTTGACACCAGTCAATGAAAGATACAACGGGGCACTTACATTCTACACGACTTCAATCTACCGTCCCAAGCTTCTACCAGTCTCGAAACCGGAAACATATGTTTATAATGTTCTCCTGCCCTGACCACTCGCAACCCATACCGGAATGTGTGCTTCGACTAGTGACCATCAAACTGACGAAAGTTCCAGGAATTAGCAGATCCAACCCATACTTAATCAATATCAGGCTATCAGCCCATGAGAATTGTAAGCGCGAAGAAGTGCGGACTGAATGTTATGTATAAAACGAAAATACCTCTTCTTCGAGCAAAAAAGTATGCCATTTTCATACAGTAGCTACAGAGAATATGGCTTGTGAAGTGAGCGAGCTATGTTGTATGACCATTGAGTAGAAATTGGGAGGTGGAAAGGCAAGCAGATTATGATGACTATTCTAATGTCTGGTAATAACAAATATATATATTTAATAATTAAAAAATACAAAAATCAATAATATTGAGAAATATATGTTAATAGTTTCAATGGGAATAATGGAATGTGATATATAAGTGTTCTAGGAAGAAGGAATGGTGTCAGCGATTTACCTCTTAGCTTGAGGAGTAAGGTTCGGATATTTTGCAGCAACTTTAGGTCGTTCGATGTCTCGCTGAGCTTCACGCAGTAGTCTTTCAAAAACTGTGAGATTGTGAACCATTGCTTGAATTCATATAACTGTGACTGGCGAACAAGGAAAAAATGAGTGTGGGGTTGAAAAAGACGCATTCATGCTTGGAAAGAAGGATGTTTCCAGGCGAAAATAGGGGAATAACACCTGTCCAAAGATAGCCAAGTCGTTTGCTCATAAGATGCAGATAACGCACGACATATATACTGCACCCAGAGTAGACCCTACCTATAATTGAAACTCATCCTCCATTTCACCCTTCCAAAGCAGGAACGTATTACCTCTCCCGATTATCTGTTTGCGTGCATAACATCTGCTTTCGCCCTCTGCGCCTCCGTATCTCTGCGGAAATCATACTTGTAGCTGGTCGCTCGTTCGATATCCTCGAGGGAAACCTTGTTATCTTTTCCAGTCCTTTCGAACGCGAACGTCTGGGCACAGATGAATATATTACGAATCTCCCGTCCATTCAGTGGCTGACCCAAGTTTTTAGGTTTCTTTTTGTTCACCCATTGCTTGATTGCATGGCTGTCCGAGCACAGCCCATGTTTTTCCAATTCTGTTAGCCACAGCTGCCAGATTTCATTTTTTTGGGCTGCTGTAAATTGTGTGAAGTTGACGGCATGGTGAATCCGAGATAAGATGGCTGGATCAAAAGCTGTGACTCGATTCGTAGTCATTATCAAAATGCCTTTGAAATACTCGACCTCGCGAAGAAGCACTTTTTGGAAGTCATTAGTTTTACAGTCAGAACTGTTTAGTAGTGTGGCTTACTAGATACCAGTGCATTCTTCACAAGAGTACCTTCATTCATATCACCCCTTGCATCTAGCAAGAAGTCTGCCTCATCTCTAATGTATATCATTAGTCCTATTTTCAAATATTTTTGCAACTTTTCTCTCATCAGAAGTACAACGTTCCAAGTTGTTGCAAGCTCGAATATTTCCTTTAGCCTTCTTTCTGCTGTACCGAGATTGTCTAACCCGATATCGCTCATGCCAACTTTAAACAAAGCTTTGCTGGAGGCCTTCGCTAAGGATTCAGCGAATATGGTCTTACCTGTCCCACTGTGGCCTTTGTTTCATTAGCTTATCATCTAAGGTATGGTTTAGTTACTCATTTGCGTACCATGAAAGAGTAAGATGAGACTCTATCCTTTCCCAATAATAGCATCTCCAATGCGTTCTGTAGGCGACTGAGCCATCACACTCACATGCTTGGTCACCAATTGTTGAATATCTCCAAGCTCATCTTTCGTCATATTCTCAGGGAGTACAAGCTTTTCGTAAATCTCGTCCCCCGTATTTGTACTGAAGTCCTGGACTACGATCTTGTCGAGTGCAAATTGGCACCAAGTCTTTCGAGTCAACGCATATCCAAAAACTCGAGGTGCCAACAGCAAGTCATTGACATTATCTTCAAGAGGACAATCTTTCATCATAGCCCTACGCCAAGAGGTAGTAGTATCATCCTCGCACAAAGAGCAATGGCAAATTTGAGAAAGAGACTGGGGAATTTCTGCCAAGAATCGTGATCCAGTTCTTCTGACATAATTCTCTGTATCCAGAACTATTTCTTCGTCTATCTGTTCATTAGATGTAGTCAGCACGTATAAAATGGCGATTTGTGACAGTATACCACACATACCTTGACAAGCACCGGCTTTTTATCTAATTGTTGTAACTTGATGATATCACCACAGTACCTCAATACGGGTCCGGCTCTCCGATGGTCAATTGTATATTTCCGAAACAGTCTCCTACGATTGAATATTGCTTGACCATCTTTGTGTGTGGTATATTGCTCATGCGATCGAATTGCATCAATACCCTGCTTTCCTCCGTGGACGAAGAAATCAACGGGATATATCGGCAGGCGTAGAATTGCCCAGTAGTCGTCAAAGGGTGGAATAGTAAAAGTATACATAGTGCGAACCAGAGACCTTCCATTCCAGTCCCATAGCCATGCGGTGAACATAAATGGGCCAGTCGGTGATCCATAATGAAGCTGACTAACCTTGAACACCTGTGGTGCTTCATGCGCCTCTCGAAACTCCAAATTTAACCAATTTGTGACAACTAAACTCCCTGGTATGATCAAACCACCCAGGTCAGTGAATCTGATGGTCGTGTAAGTATCCCTGGACGCTTGAAACCTAACTAAACTAGGATGTATTTTCTGATGCATATCCAAGAGTATGTTGAATCGGCGGCGAAGCCTCTCATCTGTCTCTGCAGGTAATGAACTCTGTTTTTCAAGGATTCTTCTCCAATTGATAACAATTGGATTCCACACCTCTGGTAGACGGACAACTTTATTATCCCATTTTCGTTTTCCTGTATGTTCAATATAATCCTTCAAGGTCTCCTTCAGCAAGTTTAGTACTTCTTGGTCGGCGATTGAAATCGTCCAAGGGTTCGATTCCAGCCCCGCATTTGTCTTGTCGTTAGCATTTTCAGTAAGTGTTAACCAAGTTGTAGAGCGTTTGGCATGCGAGTCATCTGAGCCTATGGCAAGGCTTGGATCTCTTGGTTCGATTTTGATCATTCCGTTAATGTCTCTGTACCTTATGTAACACTCTATCACATCCAAAGATTCTTGGTTGACATCATCCGGCTGTTTTCCGTTGTCCATATCTGTACTTCTCGTGGAAGCTGGTCTAGAGAGTTTTCCTTTTCGTCTTCGCTTCCGTAGAATTCGGATGTGAGGTTCTCTAATCGTTCCACCTTCTTCTCGAGAGATGTGATTCTTTCCAGTGCGTGATGGATCAAGCTGTCGTTTTTGGGAGTTTCATTGATACCAACCTATAGAAATCAACTACAGGATGTCCTGGCTATGAATTCAATGCACTTTTCAATATACTTACAAGGTATGAAGGGTCCTCTTCGGCGACCTGCACCTCTGATACATTTGTGGCTTCTGTTGTAGACATATCAGCTGTATTGTTTCGCTGGGAGTTGGTATCTTGATTGACGATGAGACTATGCTGTTAGTAGCCCTCTGAGATCCAGGATTGGTAGATTTCACAGACACTGAATACTTTCTTCTCTCGGAATCAAAACTTTTCTTATACTGTCTTCTGTGTTGAATAAGTAGGCGAACCCAGTTACACAAGCTAAGTCTGAAGTGTGGAGATTTCAAGACCCAGGGGTACCTTTTCGACTTAACGCAGCTAGACTCAGCCATAGCTTTGTACCACCAGATTTCTCGATTCCGAGAATAATGATAGAGTCTTTCTTTTTTCATGCTGTGCAAATACTGCCTTCCGCAGTAACAGCAATGTTCTGCGTTAGCCCGAATATTCTGCAACTGAAGCGCAGATAGGAACAGCCCCGACCGAATGGATTTAGTTATCCGACGCATTCACGCTACCAAGTGGTGTTTCGATTGCTGGTGATGTCAGTGATCAAAAGCCTGTAAAAGACGCCTAGTCTTAGTCGTGTAATATTGCACAGGAATAGCATCCTTCAGAGATCGAATGTTTACGCAGATTGAGGGCTGATGGATAGTGATGACTTGACTGCCAAGCAATTAAACAAGCTATACGTTTTGCAGGAGGCAAGAACCCGAAGCACTGTAAGGCTGGGGAATGCCTGGGCCTAAGCACAGAGTATTTCCCCACTGCATACCCGAGCTTGTGTAATATCAATTATCTCGATGATGCCATCATGCCATAAATGAGGTGATGAAACAGTAGATGTGAGCCTTGCCGTTCTTTTTGTCCTCTTGACGCTCTGATTTGGGAGACCTGTTTTCCATCTGCAACCAGTTTCCATCACCTACTACCCTTAGCACAAACTCCTGAGTCCATCTTTGATTCCTCGTTGTAATTTGTTCATCAAAATATTGTACTTTGTGTCCTTCATTCGTTCGTTTACTAGTGCAAAGCCAGTTAGGGTTTTTGAGACCAATCATTCGAGAGCAAGGCGGTGATGAAGTCTTATGCCCAGAAAAGTTTGGATGAGGTCTATTCTTTGTCATTTATCGACCATTTGGTCCCTCAAGTTCTGGAAGAATTGTACGGGGCTACCAGAAAAACAGTAGAGCGGCTATTTGAAGATATTCAAAGTCATGCAGAGTTTTCTAGACGCCGCATTGATGAGAAAAGAAGTAATCGCCGTGAAAAAGGTGTTTTCAAAGGAGTACAGGGCTTCATCTCTGCTGTCCATGGCTTCTTGTAAACATACCCTCTAATAGCGGATGTCGCGAAAAGCATACCCGGGACGAAATATGGCGGCTTCGCATATGGAGTTTTGGCCTTCCTCATCTATGCTGCCAAAAACAAAGAGCTACACGAGGAGATGGCAGCGAAAGCTATCAATATAACAGGCCATTGGCTATCCCGGATACAGTGATTGGCTGACATACATTCGGTTGAGGGGCAGTTAAACCATCAAATCCAATCCATGATCCTGAAAATTTATCCCCAAGTTGTAAAAACACTAGCCTCAATCACAATATACTACAATAAAACGTCGACATTCAGAAGAGTGATTAGAAGTGTCTTCCGGCCACCACAGATATATCTATAGCCAGAATTGGACGAATTCAAAGAACTTGTTGCCGATCTCATGTTTGAACACAACATTCAACAAAGCGATAAGATCAAGAGACTATGCCATGACGGCCATGTAGCAGCAGCCAACACTCAGAGACAGATTACGTTCCGCCACCTTGATCAGATGCAAGACTTATCAGGCGTACTAGGCCTTCCCTGGTTGACGAGAGACAGTGACCAGCAGCTACTCGCCGAATGTAGGTTGGCCAACGAGAACAGGCCTTTAGAAAGACGGTTTGCAAAAGAGGATCACTCGGCCTCATTTGCGCTTCAGCAAGGGAATCTTGAACTTCTGGAATCGAAAAAGTCATACCAAGATTGGAGTTTACATGCCACATCCTGTCTATTGCTATTGAGCGGCCAGGATGCGACTTCCGGGGCCAGCAGCTTATGCTGGATCTCGCCAATGGCATTGGAATTTTGTGATTCTCTGAAGCACGAAGAAGGTTGTCTTGCCGTATTTGTACCAACAACCAATATTCTCAAGCGATCTGGTGCCACTCGGGATGTGTCATATGAGACAACCTTGCTAAGTTATATTTTGTACCAGTTGTTACAACATAACGAGAAGCTTCGAGAAGACCTTTATTGTGTAATCAAGAGAGATTCAGAGAAAAGCCGATCCACGCCCGAGGCAAACAATACAGCCTTCGAGCTTTTAGAGATGACATTGCAACACTTGGACGACAGTATCCGTTACTATTTGGTTGTTGATGAGGTTATGCTTCCCAGTGATGAGAATCAGGAGCCGCATGACTTCTTTTGTACCTTGGCTGGACTTGTTTTGAGTGAAAGCTTGAAGGTCAAGATCAAGGTCTTGGCGATATCAAGTTCATGGCGTTGGGTTAAATGAGAATCGCGATGTCGAAATTCCCAACACCCTAGAGACAAACTTGGTGGACTATGTCATTTGAGCAAATCTCAACGCAAAAACCTCTTTCTTGAGTTGGGTTGGAAACAAGAAAAATGTAAAGGTCGTAGTAATTGATGTTTCTGTACTCGAGGTGTGAAATAGGTGAATATGGTCGTGTGGTCACATGCTAGGCATTCGCATCTATATATTAATTATCGCATTCACAAACCCTTCTAGTAGATTTGATGTTCTATAAAATTATAGTAAAATACGTAGTGTTTTAGTACAATTATTACAAATATAATATATAGTTATATAAAATCTATCAACTAGAGTTTAAAGAATATTTATTTTCTATAGAGTTTAAAGAAATTTAATTATAGTTTAAGTAAATAATTGAAATCCTTTAAGAAGAGTTTTTTTGAAATATGTATATTTTCTTTTATTCAATTTTTCTTAAACTATCTAAAGTTTCTAAATTATAGAATTCATTTGAAATCTAATTATAATTTGTTTTCTTTCAAGTTTAAATATTTTATATTTATTTCAATAATCTAAGTATTTATATATTAATAGTAATAAAAAGGAATTTATTCAAATCTTTTATACAAATTTAATATAAGATAGATTTATTAATTATATTAGCGATGTTAAAGTTATATTATTAATAAAAATAATTAAGATAGTTGAAGTAATGAAAATAATTAATAAAGTAATAAATCAAAGTTTTTCTAAAGTCTAAAACGTTATTTTAAAAGTAATTAGTAGAAATATATAGATTTATAGATCTTTAAAGGAGAGATTAGAATATACTATAAGTTCTAGAGTTGATTTATGATAATAATAGAAAGATTTAAGATTATAGAAAAGTATCTGAAATATAAGATAGAAATAATATTAAATATTCAATCTCTTCTAGTAGTAGTTTAATATATCTTTATTTTGAATTGATTGAAAATGTGTTTCATACTGCTGCCTATACTTTATTCAACAGCACTAGTTTACTAATCTCTCCATCACATCGATATACATAAGTGACTTGAGCTATTGGAATTCTCGGGACGGCAAAAGACATAGTAAAACATTTCATCTAGCATTGTGCACCATAATTCCCCAGGTATACCGTCTCCACGGAAAAGAGTGGCCATCCGATTTTTTTCTCACGCAGGAAAGTTGTTCAGCATGGGTGTAGCCTTTGTAAATAAATGTATATAAGAAACGATATGACTGTGGCTTACCATTTGGTTACCATTTGGTTGCCACAAAGTATAGCAGCTAGAAGAAGAACATACGTGACATCATACTCGAGTACAGTTTAGCAAAATACACAACCTCTGCTAGCCAAACAACACCACAATGATAGATAAGAGGTAAAGTAGACTGAGTGGAGTAAAGTGAAACATCAACTGATATTAACTTCTCATCCTGATATTTGTCTTGCATTATACGCAAGTTTCAAATATACACTGCATGGCATGTCTATTCTACGGAATTGATGCACATAGAACATGTAGCTATACCGACCGGCCGCCCGCCCGCCTGCCAAGCTTTAAGATAATAAAAGCATTAACAGCAGTGAACTAGACGGAATGAAATAGACAATGTATATGAATGGAAACTAAGAGAGGACGAAGAATGACATTAGGAGTGGGAAGATGGCAATTACCACGAGAAATGCCATTTGGAAATCTTTTGTCGAGGTTTTTGCACTGTTTGACCACTTGATTGGAAAAGAACATATTTGATAGAGTCTGAGTGAGATGAAAGACGAAAACCCATAAGATTCAACAATTGTTGACTTTGCTTTGAAATGTATATGGTTATGGGATTAACAAAATTTCATTGCTATAAATAAGTGACACACCCATGTCTATACACTGGCCACTATGCAGCACAAACAAATACCTCGATCTCTTCCTTTCTTCATTTGAAACGCCAACCATGACCAAATAAAAGTCCCTCGAGCCTCTCGGTCTTCGATCCTAAGCATACATATCTTCCAAAAATCTTACAGTATTATCATCTTCCCTTGCCGGAAGAAACACCAGCACCAATAACACCAGGTAATTGTTCATCACCGATGCTATACAACATGCCAATTCCCCAGGAAACAAGCCCGACCAGGACGAGACTAGAGATGAAGATCAACCAGAAAGGACCGCTGATATCTGATTTTTGACAAGCAGACCCTCCACGTCCCGAATCGGCACCACATCTGCAGGCGAAGCAATCGCCGGATTGGGATGTGTATTTCTTATAGCAAGCACCCATTGATGAGCAGTTGTTGGTGGAGGAGATACAAGAGTCCAAAGAGGCGTGGCAGACAGGAAGAGTTGTCTTAATGAAAGTATTGTTATTGTGGGAAGAATTAGAGCTCGGGGCTTCTTGTGTTTGTGCTTGGTGATCGACGAACTCAGCCATTGGTTCTTCAAATTGTTGTCTGCTAGAAAGCTTCTTTTGTGAAGGTCTAACGTAAGAGCCGTAAGATCCACTGCCTCTGCGAGATTCGGGCATGAGGATGACGAGTACATTCATTTCTGCTTTGGAGGCGAATTTGGTTAAGCGTTCGAAAGATGCGTTGATGAAATCCTTATTCTGGCCCAACATTAGCCAAACAATCTCTCCACAAATACCTAGCTCATGTCACATACCTTTGGTTGTCTATTTAAGTCAACGTGCATGATCTTCGACTTTCCATTCCAGCATCTGTCTGCGAATGGATTGATAGCATCGTCAAAAGAGCATTTCTTTGCCTCTCCGACCTGTGACTCCAAATCATCTGCCAATTTCTGTGTCGTCCTAACTGAAGGTGGATTTGAGATTGTAAATGCTGGTTGTATAGAAGACCAAGCATCTGATAGTGATCCGGCCGTTCCCTCTAATACACCCTCAACAATCATAACCAACTCAGCCGCACTGTTCTTTGGCGCATCCTCGAACAATGATTTTATTTGTCCTCCAAACTTGTTGATATACTTAATGGCACTGCTGCCGACCGATCCAACATCATGAAATTGTGATACTCCCAATCGTTGTGCGAGGACGAGGCGTGCTTCATTAGGGGAAAGAGCTGGAGGTGATGCTAGATTATTTGGCCATTGTTGGCCTTCGAATATGTAGGCACGGGCGGAATCTGATGTGGCACAAGCTGTACTGGCCAGCAATGGCAAAATGAAGCTGGAAGAGAGCTTCATATTTGTTGATAAGTTTTGTTGATATATGAGTATATTGAGAAGCTCATACTCAAGTTAACGTTCTGGAGAGCTTGTCGATGCTCGATAACAACCTCAAGATGTGGTACCAAGCCAAGCCCCAGTGTTGGCGCTAACCGCTTTTAGATTGAGTAAAGTTTAATATAATAATAAGACTTAACTATACAAAAACTTATAAATTTAAAGATTACTTAGATAGATATTATGATATTCTTTATATTTTAGGAATTTATAAAAGATAAAACCGCTGTTAAGTTATAATTCACTCTTTTGATAATTATATAATTATAATTCCTTTTATTATAACTCGTATATTTGCTTTATTCGGAGATAAATTGATCCCCAAGGCCGATCGAGTATTTTTTGGGTACAGTTATCTACATAGGTATTTATCTTGCGCTCTTATACCTTAACTACCAAACCTCTTCATCTCACACACCACGATAAACATTCTTTAACTATTCGATTGTCAATACCTTCACGTCAAATCAACCTTAAATTCTATCCATTTCGTCCGTAACACCAGATAATCTACCTAGTTCGCCACAGAAAGTAGTTATCAAGGGCTCGCCAGCTCGAAGGCGGGCCTTGATTCACCACCCATCATCTACCACCCTCACGATGTTTCGATCCATTAACCCGCGGGCAGCGAGTGTACGGGCGAGACTACCACCCAATATCTTTACTGCGAGTCCATTGCATATGCGCTTCAATGCGCAGAGACATATGGGAACGGCATTAATCAAACAGGCAGTTCGTATTAGAAGACCATCGATTAAACCAAAGTACGCATACTCGGATTGTATCCGTGGGAAGCAGGTGTACTGATATTACATAGAAATGTCGTTATCAAACTTATCGTGGCATATGCCTGCTATGAGATTTACTGTCGAATAATCTTATCTCCCCTAAGCAGAATAGAGGCATCGAATCATATACCAGAGGAGGAACTTCAAGAGGAACCAATGTTTCTGCCCTTTCCCGGCACCACGAAAGAGCTCCCTTCTGTTCCTTACAAAGGTACTGACCCAGAATTTCAAGAGTTCATCAAGATTAGCAAGGACAGAAAACTTGTAGACAAAATCAGAGGTTCGTTTACTGCGCAACACATGTGAAGTGATCATGGCAATTATTAACAATGTTCCAGTTGACTTGGTGGAATTTATACGAGATTCTACCACTAGATCTCTGGTCTCTTTGACAACCGTTGGGAATGAATTTAAATGCAGAAGATCTTGGCTCGATATTGATTTCCCTGGACCGCCACCGACATTCGTAAGATCAGGGTAAGTTGCTTGCCATAAATATCACGGGGAACAAGACTAATATACATCAGGATCGAAATCTCTGATGATGCAGTTTCCTGGGTTACACAACCTGTTGATGCCTCACTAGTATACAAAATACGAAATGTTCTATGGCCAACAGCCCTTTTTCATTCTTCGTGGAGTTTTATGAAAGTACTGGCTACGGAAGAATTCAGAAATATAGCAGGAAAGTTTGGTGTGCAAATTCAAACGAGTCCCGCTCAGCAATCGATGGATCAAGTACTAGCTCGATCACCAAAACTGATGAAGGAGTTAAACGGACGACAAAAAGTTGCCGGGGATGTTCAACGTCCATTGATCGCCAAGGATGGGCCACCACAACAGCCTGTGGGTGACAAAGCCAAAGAATTTGGGGACGCCGCGGCACCCGGGAAACCGAACGTTGAAGATGATCTTTTCCATACCGTTCATAAAACATTCAGGGATAATCATGCATCGTTCGCAAAACCCATCATGGCAGCTAGACTAAAATACCGCAACATTACTAAAGAGTTAAAACCAACTCAGAACTTGCGTCCAAGAGGCTCTGTCAAGATATCGGGACTTGTCGAACTTGAAAGCGATAAGGCCTATCTCGTTTTTGATGTCACCGCAGCTTGGGATCCCAAGACGAGGGACTTTGATACGAATAGTATGCATATTACGTGTAGGAGGTTGCAAAGAAAGAAGCCAGTCCCTGTTTTGCCGAGCAGGCTATCATAGTACTATGCTTAGCGGATATCATGTTTTTTCTTTCAAGGCGTTCAAGGTGGATATCAAAATATACATGGTTATCATGATAGGGCGTTTGGTTCGCCTAATGTGATACAGTCCTATCCTCTAAAAATAGAGTTGGATTTTTCATGAGCGGTTTACGTGGTAGGGCTAGTCTGAAAAGGCAAATTCGGGGAGGAAATGGATGAAGCTTCAGAGGCAGAGGTGCCGCTACTTCAATTACTCCTTTTGCTGAATAGCAATACAGCCAGTTAGTGTTAGAATTCATATGTTTGGTCGGATTGCTTTCTCAATCCTTCATTTTATATCGTACACGTATGCCTGAACACTCTATTCTATTCATTCTCCTGCTGTATACGTATCCACGTACTAAATTTCATTGGAGTGCTATTCATGAATTCTTTTCGCTGATGATCTTGCTTGCATTTTAATTTTATTCCTTAAATCAATTATTATTGGCAAGTTGCTAGATAGAGGTTGGGGATCTTGGTTCTGTATGTGGATGGATGGATGTATGCATATATATATGTATGTGTTTGTGGGCGGAAATAATGATTTGGAATGGGATTTGTGTAGATGTAGATAATTTACACTACCTATTGTCACTTTTATTTTCACATGCTTTTCCGAGGAGAGAAGAGGAGAGGAGAGGAAAGGATAGTAGATTAGGGGTGTAAAAGGACAGAGGGCACAATAACAAATGAACTGATCACTTCGTTTGCTTTGCTTTACTTTGCTACTGTATTGCTTATCATCACCATACATTGGGTCATCTAATCTGCACATCGATATTCGAGTAATCCTACATGTTAATTATAGTTCGTCACGGTGAATAAACAAACCTTTTTCTTTCTATGGAAACCGGACGGACGGTTTTGCTAGTGCTTTTTCCGCCGGCATAAGTTGGTTGGATTCATTTACAAATTATCTCCTACATATAGCACGTAGCATGTAGCACACTTTTTTCGTCGTTACCTACTAGGTAGGTACAAGATGATGTCTAACTATCGATTTTACCTGGTTACTCGCAGATCCTATGGCAATTGAAATTGGAATTACTCGAGTAGTGGGAACTTATTGGGGGGTCAAATTATGTGATATAATATAATATAACTTCTGGGTCAGCTTCTTCTAAGTCTTGCATCTTCACGTCGCAGCTTAGGTTTATGATTTATGCAAATAGGTTGGTTCTTGAGAATTCTTGTTTCTAATTATGTTTTTATTTATGTTTGTATTTGTGTTTATATTATTTTTGTTCATGCAATATCTTATTTGGATACCTTCTGTACCATAAAAGAGTTTGGACTATCGTGTGGTTATAAGGCTAAGTAGATGAGGATAACATGTTCAATCAGCTTTTCCAATGTTGACAATATTGATAGTGATAATTCGGCATGAACACTTCTCTAGTTGATGGAGACTTGTAAGCTGCTGCAAAGTGCGTCACAAAGATTGAGGCAAATGAGCTACTTCTACATCTAGATTATATTCTTTAATCATGAAGTCTGGAATCTAAAGAAGCATGAGATGCAACACTTAATACTAAATATCAAGTCATGAATTAATATTATTCTACTATTCCAATAGAGCCGAAAGGATGAATGGGCACAATAATGTCATCTTTCTGGCCTCCGAACATGCAGTGGTTGAGAGGTAATTCAACACCTACATATAAAGCAGAAGCATAACCTAGTCATTTAGATGACGAGATCGGTAAAAATGATTGATGAGCAATGTAAAAAATCAGAAATAGGAAAAAGACTTATTCGAAAAGTGCGATGTTGAACAGCGAAGAAGAAATTACTGAATTACCAACAGTTTACATGTATGCAAATGTATACAAAAACCATAAACTCACGCGTTCAACTGTAGGACTTAATTTGTTATAAGAGAGATCACTCGAAGTATCAATGGACTTGGTTGGTAGATCCGCTCACATTGTGAGGAAGGGTGAAGAATAAACAAGTTGAGATTGGGGCTGGGAGATCGGGTTTATGTGGAAAATCCTAGGTGGGGATCGTTGTGATTACCTAGTATGTCATCTGTGTTGGATGTGTCTACTGTCTACTGTCTAGATTCGGTAGTAATTCTCGAAGCAGAGGCTATTTAATGATCATGCAATTTCTCGGCTATATCGATATGTAGAACGGGAATGTGGGGAGCTAGTTAGATACAGCCATTTGGATCGGCATTAAGAGTATGAAACGAGTACCAATATTGAAACATACTGGCCCGAGTATATAGTGACAACACTTACTTCCTACGTCCTTGGCCTGATTTTTAAAACCCGATTCCCTAAAATTCCATTGCCTCGTATAGAGTAAGTATCATTTGCATACTAGCGACATCATTAGTCACGCTAGTCTAGGCTAATGAAAGTTCAGTCTTACTACATATGTTCTTCGGTTCTAAAGGGACTATAATACGATGGAAAGGAACTGCAGTACATCATCAAATTATCATCAAGATCTTTATTTGTCGAATATTACCAAGCTTGCGGAATCAACGGACGTTCACGCAAACCTTTTATTGCTGAGCAACAGGAAGCAAATCTCTTACAAAAGCAATTGAACCGAGTAATTTAGATACAAATTTGAACACAATGTAAAGAGGGTTTGTTAGGTCCCATCATACTTGATGTGATAGCTGGAGCAATAGGGAGCCAAGATTGAGAAAAGTTCTCTACGGATACCGGTACATGGCTCGCAGAATCGCAGTGAAGAAACGAATCATGGTCAATTATATCAATATAGCTCACGATATTATTGAACAGATAAGTGTACAACAACCTGGTATAGTTTACCGATATTGAGTGAAATAGCATCAGACAAATTCCACATCTAGCACCTCCAACACCTCCCATCATTGTTTACAGATATACTTCTTCAGATAAATATATTGGTGATGAATAGGACAAGTTCATATAAATAACCCATGTCCTGCATTGGAAACATTTTGGGAAGGACCGTAAAACTAAATTCCCTACTAGGGATTTTTGATGACTAACAATACATGGCCAATTGGAACGCAGATCTAAGATATCACATAATCATATTTTTCTAACCTCAATGCTCGCCATCTTTACTGTATAATTATCTTGGTTCAACTCAACCCTACCTAGTGTATCCAATCCGCTCAAATATTTCGAGTTCTGTAGCTGAAGAGGTTCAGATAAATAGAAGTTCCTTCACCGTTATCATGAGTAGCTCTATATTTTCTGATATACAATAGGGCTTATAGGGCTTATAGGGCTTATAAAGTTAAATACTACTCTAATGTCCCTCAGTTGAGAGGGCAATAAGGGCTCTTACCTCTGCTCGTGGAGACAGTATAGTATTACACCAAAGAGCTTTTTGGAATTGATACCAATAATACAAGGTATCTGACGATAGATTAGCTCTTATTCGTGGTTATCATATCACTTTTGGCTTTTCCTCGGCCAAACAGGATGGGGTGGAAACTATCCAGTACCTGTACTCGACTGAGATTTGATATTTATGTTCAAATATTGTCCATACTATTACGCTCAGAGTCTTCAATGAACATACTACTCTATAGCTTGAAAGACAATGGAATCGATGGACCTGACGGTGAGCCAGTCTTGTCTGTGGTGGCAACATCATCTCACCTTCTTCCATCTTGCTACATCAGGAGAAAGATCTTTAATACTCGGTTTGTGTGCGAGCTTTTTCTTTCAATTGTTGTTTGTAATATTTGAAATAATTCTGGCTATCTTATTTATTACTTCGTATGGGAAGAGACAATAGCAAGTGTAGGATGTGACAAACCTGATGGTATATCAGTTCTGTCTATAATGATAATACCATATCACGTCTCTCAATTGAATCAGAGAAAAGACGTCCAATATTCGATTTCTCCTTGGGCGTTTTACTTCGGTTATTGTTTGTACTACTTTGAAGAATCTGGGCTATCTTGTTATTTCGTATTGCAATACTCGGAGGCAATATCATATACATTATATGACAAGTTTGATAACAACACTATTGTCTGTAATTACTCCACCGCTTTGCCGTCTTCCCTCCTAGTCAAGCTGGCAAAAGGCCTTCATATCTTACTTACCGGTTGGTATATTTGCTTCAGTCAATATATGTACAACTTTCAGTATCTCTAGCGTTTCTATTGTTCCATGGTACAAGAGACAATAAGAAAGAGCGAGAATATTCCCTTCCGCCAAATATTCACTTTCGATTCATATCCTATTGTTCCGTTCCGTTCAATAATTCGCACTTTGAAACCTCGACAATTAAGCGAGCCCATTCTCTCTCTATTGAACTGAAGGTACAATCAATATCAATCGGAGTCACAATAGAATAGTACTCGCGATTATTCGCTATTGTCAATTAGCCGATCAGGTAGGTATTATATCAGTAAGTCTTCCATTCCGTCTTTTCATCCTCTTTTTTTCCTTTTTCTCCTCGTACAAAGGCCACTTAAAAAATAAAATCCTCCAAGTTCCTGCTGTTGATCAGCAGTTTACTCGTTCAAATAACCCCTTTTTAAGCACCTTTGCTCAAATTTCACAATGAACCTCGACTTACCACCCAACGCTGCATGGGCAGCCAATGCCATTGACCCCAAGAAGAAGAAAGCTTCGTCGTTTTCTTCTTCTATTCTCCCACCCCCTCCTCCTCCTCCTCCAACCATTCCTCCTCCTCCTAAACCTCCCATCGCCGCTCCAAAGCGGAACTCGGGAATGGCCTTTACAATGGTACCAGGCCTGGCCAGCCAACCATCAACTTCTTCTCCGGTTCCTCCTGCTCCTCGTCCCGCGTCAGCGGCAGCACCAATTGCCTCGGTTCCTCCTCCTCCTCCTCCTGCTGTTGTCGCCGCGCCAAAGCGCAATTCTGGCATGGCCTTTAAAATGGCACCAGGTGGCCTGACCAGCCAACCATCGACCTCTGCTCCTGTTCCTGCTCCTGTTCCTTCCCCCTCCTCCTTTCCTGCCCTCCCCCTCTACCAGCATTGCCTTCACCGGCCTTGCCAATCCGCTACCTCCCCCATCGACCCGCTCCACCCATTTCCGCCGACCCTCCCACCCCGCAATACCTATTCGACTGGGTAAACCAGCGAACCACCGAAGAAATGGACTGTAAGTTCTCAATTTCCCTCCCTTTCTCAAACAATCATTTACTGAATACTGACTCATGCATCTAGGGTGGACGGACGAGTACTCGCGCTATATCAATAGCTTCGAGGAAATGGATTGGGATTGGTCCGCCGATTACTTGGAGGATCTTTGTGGGCTTCTTTAGAGTAAGTTTTGGTTTTCTCGCGTATTTATTTATTTACCCATTCATTCAATCCCCTTTGGAAGTCACCTCCTCAACTAAACCAAGTTCTGGAAGGCGCCATCGAGTATTCTCTCAAAGTTGAGTAGTCTTGAATGCGACTCGCCGTTGTTCGAACTTGAAGAAACTCAAGAATCGACAATCAAAAGTCAACTTCGATGGTAGTTAGTGGCTACTGCCTTTGAGTTCTAGTGAGCTCTCCAATATTTCAGTAAGATTACAAAACCACTTCTTCACACCTCACCTCTTCATTCCCGTTCATTCTCATACTACCATCATATCATGTTGCGCCTCACTATCTCACTCCACACTCCCGAATTTCATCTTGTCAGCTACCTAGCCCTCAATCTGCTTCTTACCCTCCTGAACAAAAGCATACTCGCTCAGGCACGTTTCTTACCTTTCTCATCCCTCATCTCTTTCATCCTCAATCCAATCCAAAATCCAATTAACCAATCATCACAGTACCCATACCCATGGCTCCTCACCGCCTGGCACGCTCTCTGCTCATCACTGGGCACCTATGTTTCGCGACGACTCAATGCTGCACATTCCGAGCATCGCTGTCACGAAAAGAATCATTACATTTTGATGTTTTCGATTCTGTACACGGTCAATATTGCCGTTAGTAACGTTGCACTGTACGTTTTTCCTCTCACTTCCATCCTCCATCTTCCATCTTCCATCCTCCCCCTTTCCCCTCCAACATCCAACCCCCAACCCCCAACTAACACCCCACCCCCACCAGCGGCCTCACCACCATCCCAGACCACCAAACCATCCGCTCCAGCATCCCCTTCTTCATCCTCCTCCTCAACCTCCTCCTCTACCATCACCTACCCACCCCCCTAACGATCCTCACCCTCCTCCCCCTCACCCTCGGCATACTCCTCGCCTCCGCCTCATCCAGTACTCTCACCCCCGCCCCCCTCGCCCTCACCCTCCTCAGTTCACTCCTCTCGGCCCTCAAAACCCTCATTACCCACTCCTTACAAACGAGTCCTTCACTGTGCATCCCGCCCCTCGCCCTCCTCCACTCCATCGCCCCCCTCGCCGGCATCCAAGCTACTATCTGGTCATACATGAACGGGGAAATCGACGAGTTCCTCGTGAAACAGATTTTCGCCCGCACATCAACTTCCACATCCACATCGACCCTCACATCAACCCTCACCCCCAAAAGTACCCCACTCCTCTTCCACCTCCTCCTCAACGGCCTAACCGCCTTTCTCCTCAACTACTCCAGCCTCACCACCAACAAGAAAACCAGCGCCCTCAGCATGGCCGTCCTCGGCAACATCAAACAAGCCCTCTCGATTGGCGCTTCCGTCCTGCTATTTCGCCATGGCTACACGGGGTTTACGCATATATTCGGTGTGTTATTGGCGCTTGGCGGTGGGTTTCTGTATAGTGTGATTGAGGTCCGGGCGTTGGGGAATGGGAATGCGCATTTGAAGGAGAAGGGTCGTATTTCTTCTGCTTAGGATTTGTTTATTTGTTTTGTTTTGCTTTGAGTTTTTAGTTTAGTTTAAATGTTTGGTCTTTGTTTTTGATTCTGTTTTGGTTTTGGTTTCGATTTCGGTATCATACAATACAATACTATTTCGCGGCTCTGCTGCTTTTTCCTTCGCTTGAAATCTTGTTTCTCTCTATAAAAATGCATATGTGAATGTGACTATAAATTTGTCGATTGAGCTTACATACCTCATCACTTCTCCCATATATACAGACAACAGTTCTTCTTTACACCTGAGATGCCGCACCGTTAGAACATGTATACCTACTAAACACATAATGATTTATCAAGCTTTTAATTCATTCCTTGGCACTGCACACTGCAAGATATAGTATCAACACACTATCATTCTCCCTTTCCCATATACTCCATCGCGTCATGATACCAAGATCAAAGACCCAAGATCCAAATTCAAAAGCCGGCAGTTGTCCTGAACAATCGATAGACACTTTTCCTCCGATTCAAGATTTATTTCGCGCCCAATTCCCTCCCTTCACCTCGCGTTCAATCCTATCCCGCGATCCTTTCCGAGGTTGTGATTTCCCTTTTGTAATGAGTTGCTCCCCTTTCCCGTCGCTCCTCAAGTCGTGTATGGATATTATGTGTACTCATTCAAGACTTTTCGTAGCCCAATATATAAAAGATGCACTGTGATTGATGAACTTTCCTCAAGGGCAATCGAAAATTTAGTGAAGCGGCAGTCGAGCTCGTGTGTATATCCAAGCTGAGCACATCGAAACTTCGGCATAGAACCTCTCGTAAACTAGATAATTAATCTCCACGCCAGGATTGGTTGTGTGTTTAGGTACATATGGAGCCTAACTTTCACGACATCGAAATCGGTTGTCGTTCATTCATACGTGCTCGTATTCGCAATCTTTCACCTGAAAGAGGTAAATCAACCTCTTCGTTTCGCAATCGGATTCACCATCTCATTTGGATCAGAGTAATCCCAATGTCTCTTAATCCCACTTTCATATACATTCGCAACCGATTCTTGCCACATACTCGGGCTCACAAAAGATGGGATTGGAGCTCCAGAATACTGCTGTGGAGGCATGGGCTGCTGCAAGCCTGGCGGTAAGCTCACATTGGGAAGAATTTGCATCTCGGGGAGGGTCGGGAGTTCTTGTGCACCTGAAGAGGGAGTTTTTAGAGGAGGGGTCTTTTCAGAAGCAGAGCTGCTCGAAGCGGGAGGCGTACCGAAAGTGTGGTTCCATTGGCTAAGATACAATTAGTGTTTAGAAATCTCCAATCAAGATGGGAAGCAACTTACTCAAAAATTTTTGACGGGTTCCATGAGGCATGCTCTGCCATTGGAACCCCGCTAGCAATTGGAACGGGAGCTCTTTGACCAGTGGCCATCATTACCAGAGACTGTACGGCGGGAGAGTCACTTTTCGTGTCTACGCTCCCAGCTGATATGGGTGGTGATATGGGATGGCTTGTATAACTGACTTGTTCCTGCTGGGCATTTTGAAGTCCCAAATTTTGAATCTCCATAGAGGTACTTCCTTGACGATATTGTTGAGCGTTTCCTCGGGCAGGGCTGATATTGGCCGGTGCTCCTGGACTACCATATGGGAAAGATGGTTTCAAAACGAAAGGCTTCCTAATGTCAGCTGAAAATGCTTGTCTGAGTGACTCAATCTGTTGTTGCATATCTGGCATGGGCCATGAGCTGGTACACCTTTCGAGGATTCTCATGTGTCTGGTGAAGTATTCTCGGGCGTCCGAGTTGAGATCTGGATCCGGAGACGTAATTGCAACCTGTAAAATTGTCAACATATCCTGACTGTCGGTAAGTTGTGTTTGTACATACCAAATGCAGAACTGTGCAGGTCAGTACGCAATATATGGTGAAATTAATGCCTCGTTGCATGCATAATAGACCAGTCAACCCAAATGATTGTAAGACACCCTCCTGAAGTCTGCAAAGAAGTTTTGCAGAATTATAGCAGATGAGCATGTGGTGCTTCCATCCTCCGTCCGCGCCTGGTTCCATGAAAGTGAGTTGCGGTCGATGAAGCATAATGATACTCAGGTAATAATAGGAGTGAAGGTTGCCAATGAAATGGGTGGGCAGCCATGGAGGAGATCCATCCGTTGGAAAATCGATTTGCAAAGTTTCGGGTAGATCGTTCATCCAAGTCTCGAAGGATGGATTCAGTTGAACGAAGTCTGGATCGATACCCCACTCCTTTCTCTTCTTGACCCTGGCGTACACGTTATTCATTCTCCGGACATTACGAACAACTCGTGTGAACCAAGTAAAATTGCGTGTGATAGTGAGCTCCCCGCTGTCGATTCCAGCCCTCGGGACACTCAAGTCAAGCGTTTCCATATCAACCGCGAGATCCGTTCGGCCTTGTGGAGAACCGATCATCAATTCAACAACAAAGATGGTTTGCCATACCCGAGTTTTGGTAATGCAATCGGCAAGATCAGAGCCACAGGTTCTACCTGCCTTATGGTCTTCATAGTGCTCGTCCAGACCCAAATCCTTCGCCATTTGAACGCATGCCACCACAGTCATCCATGAGCGATAGTAGTATCCACGTTTAGGTGCAGATTCTCTTGCTTTAAGTATTATTAGGTTTGCTTGAAGGGTGCTCAATCGAGGTACATCCATAAAAGCATCGGCATGTTCTGTATCAAGTTAGAGACATGTTTCGTTAAGCTGCAAGAAAAGTTCTTACTGGAAGCAAGGGCGAGCCACTGATGTCCCTGCGCTGGTTCATCATCAAGTCTTCCAGCGATTGCAAATATTGCTTCAAGTATCAAAGGTGAGATCGCATCTCGGTTCGTATGCCATTGGTGGTAGAAAAGGGGTTTGTTAAGGACCGGTACGTAAGGATGTACGTTGGTGAAATACATATCAAAATAATGCAGGATGGTCTGTTCGTCTGGGAGAAGCTCCGGGGGTATTCTGATCTTCATATCTGCGCTCACCGTAAGTGGAGGTAAAGCGTTCTTGTATTCATCGATGTCTTCAAAGGCCGGTTCCTCAACCAAAGTCCTGGTCCTGTCCTTGTTGTTCAGGTATGGAGCTATTTCACTATCAGAACTACAACTTAGTATGGCAACCGAGGTACTTACCTGTGCCTGCCGGGTTCATCTTAAGCTCTCCCAGTAAATCGGCTAGATTATCCCCGCCATATTCACTTTGGCTATAATTTTCTGGTGAACTATGGGTCTGCTGTTGCATAGAGGCCGAAGGATATACCGCTTGTGGTGAATACTCTGTATGTTGACCGAGCGCGCTGACTGGAGTTTGAATGCTATTATAGTGCATGGTCTGTTGGCTATGAGCACTCGAAGGTCCTCCGTATGGAATGGGTTGGTACATAGTATTCGGATCAGGGTATGGAAGTTGCTGCGTGTAAATTGGAGGAACCACCTTCGAAGGCCCTGGCATTTGCTGTTGTATCGGAACTTGTTGTTGATAACCGTCGCCGGAATTGCCCCCATTATCATATTGCCCCGCGTCTGCTTCGAAGGTTTGGTTGTTTTGCTGGAAATCGCGATCGTAGTTCACCGTTGGAGGAACACATCCTAACTTGAGCCTCGTACAAGCGGAGCATGGCCAGGTATTCGTCGTTGCAGCATCACACTTTATTTTTCTTCTCCGACATCCCTCACAAGCTCGCATCACTATCATATATCAGCAAAGAAATGCGCAGAATTTGAGGCTCTCGTACCCTTCAAACGCTTGTGGCGATTATGTTCGTCAACGAAGACATAATCTAAGATGCATCAGCCCAAGTCAACTTCAAGGTCCCGCAAACGAAGGAAAGATTGCGCACTCTTTTGATTCTCTCTCGGGCCATAACTTGTTGGCGCAAATGAAAAGTTTTGCATTTGTGAGCTCTGTGGGAGTAGTCTCCTTGTTCCAAGATCTTGGGACATTATTCTTTTTTCAATGCGATTTCGATCCTCGTTTCCTACACAATCTTGAGCCCCGATTATTGGCGCCTATCTTTGAGATCCCCTTATATACGATTGCTTCTTTTAGTGAGGATCGTCGAAATATTTAGAGTGAAGTATAAGAAAGCGGAGTGTCGTGAACCCAGAACTCTTTTGTTCGACCGCATCCGGATTGAGGGGGCACGTTCTTAGTCCAGAATAAGCACGAATGGGATTTTGGTCCGACTAATTCGAGGAGCCACGAAGCTGAAGGTTTGAAATCGAATGGTGGAGTGTCGTGGCTTCAAGGATATCGAAGAATGAAACTGCGGAAATCGATCAGGGTCAGCTAAAGGCATCGTTACAGTAGTAGCACAATATGCGCCTGCCCACCTACCTCACGTCCAAGGTGCGTATTGTGAGACGAAGAAGGCGTTACCCTATGCAAAAGCAAAAGGATTGACTAATTGGACAGATTGTATGATTTCTTTTGATGCGCTATTTGATCAGATTCGATTGAAGATGGGTCGTTGTATATACAGGTCAGGTACAAAAGCCGTACACTAAGTAACTCCGCACTCAAGAGAAAGCTTGGATTTATCTAGGGTCGCGCCACAACAAAAGTATAAATTAGTGCAAGTGGTGATGTGAGAGGAAGGATGATTATGAAGTTATGAACACCCTTCTAGATCAAAATCTATAAAGCATTAGGCATGAGGCATTACCGCATTAGGCATTAGATGGGCAATAATAATGGAATGGCCAGTAATTGTGCTATTGGTATGGGTATGTGCTACTCCTCCGTATTGTACCTCCGTACTACCGTAGACGCAATTAATCCCAAGAAAACCCAAGTTCTTCTTACCGAAGTAAAAAGGTATGAGGGTATTTACCTCATGCAGATGGGTGGGTGGAGAAACAATGGGTTATGGGACCATGGATTATTGTATGGGGGGTGTCCATTATCCAACAAACTAAGGTCTGACAAGAAAGACCCGCAAGTAAGTATACCGGGAGGTGATAGCAGGGAACTCGAAACGGTTGGTTCCCAAAACCCTGGTAGGGATTATTGTTACAAGATGAGAAGGCAAGGAAGGAGAACCGGCAAATTGAAAAGGGCTCAAAAGGCGGTTTCTCTAGAATGAAAAGGGAAGATTCGAGGAACTTCAATAGAAGGAACGGGAAATGATGGACGGACTCGGGTAGTGTCGTTCTAGCTTTCAAAATCAGACTATTTTATCATGAGTGACTTCCTTGTGGTGTTAATATTAGTAATATATCATAAAGTTTATAAGTTACTCCCCTTTAACTCTTTACAATTCCGTAGTGAAATAATCATCGTTCATCATTATGGGAAAGGAAGGGAGGGGGGGGGGGGGGGGACCTCCTCTCACTCCCTTATAATTTTGATAAAGTGCTTGACAATTTGTTCTGACGCGGATGTTGCCGAAAATCTGAGTCTCCTGTTTGTGATTGTTGCTTTCACATGCATTCATCTTATCTCATTCGTAATAGTAATTGGTATGGGTGTGGTACCCAAAGTTGTGGTGTGTAGGTTCCCGGGAAAGAAGGCTTTTAATAGTTCAAGAATATGCCCTCAATACATCTAAGCGTCTAATTCATTCAATCATTTGTATATGTTATACGGGTCAAGATCGAAAGGCCGTATGAATTCGAAAGATATACAAGTATCGCTCGACTTCTATGGGTAAAAGAATCCTGTAAATGTAGCCCTTCGGACCGGTAATGCCTGACAAACTCGTTTGAGTTGTTCGAAACGGTGATCAAATAGGAAGAATGTGAGTTTTTCCAATCCTGTGCCAGCTGTTGTCTCCTCCTGAAAGATATTACTACATTTAACATTTCAAATATATAAATCCCATCATCATTCACACATCTTTTAATATTATATACTCGTACTCGAATAGATGCTTGTTAGAAATACGAGTAGAGGATATCGGTAGCTCAATATTGTGGGGCAAGAATAGCCGACATCCTTCCTCAAGTTGAGTTTGTGCTACAGTAGGTGTAAAAGGCTAGAAGCACGATGCTGATATCGGTACCTTATCGATCGGTTATTACGGAGTTAGTGTTGATACTTCGAAGCTTTTAGCTTTTAGCTTTTATAGAACGAACTTTATTATTAGATTCGAAAGTAACTATCCGAGGTTACTACTTTCTCAAGGTTAGGTGTGCATTGCTTCGAGCCGAGGGTAATTATAGAGGCCTGATGAGGGGTAACTGTAGTAGATTCGAGCGTACCATTTAAACTGCCTCTAGAAAAGAAATAGGGAAAATCATTAACCGTTATTGCTCATCACAAGTTATGCACAGGTCAGACTTTCCTCTAAAACTCATTCTTATATGATTAATAACGATCCCTTTATAACACCGAAACCCGAGTAGTTTAGGACTTAACAATATCGGAACATTTGTATTTGTATTATCATTTGTAACAAGATTAAAGTACGGTACCATAGTTTTAGAGCAATTACTGTATCACAAACGATCGTCAGTTTGGCGGCGTCTGAGATCATCCCACGATACCGGCGGTGAATACAAAGCACCTTCACACCGAAGTACCGAAGGGCATGGGCAAGGAAATTCGCGAAGGCAGAACCATTCAGTATACTCAATAGTACTAGGGTACAGTGCATGTTGCATTCTTCTAATGAATTGTTGCATACTTTCGATACTTCACCAACAGCTTGCCCCATAAATTTATAATTTAGTTAGATGATAAATGGATTCAGGGTTCTTTAGACAGCACTACTGCCCCGCAAAACACTATTCCCTAATGTACTAGCCTATAACTAGGCCCAGAAAGGGCCGCCCGGTAGTTTTCTCAAGCAACATGGGACGCAGTTGCCAACAAATGCAGCGAATAATAATGCTATATGGTATGATACCAACAAGGGGCAATGGAATTTCAGGACGAGTCAAAGACTGGATGTTTTGACCTCATTATTCTGTGCCACGAAGCCGCAGCCACTCGGCCAGCAGAGATGCACCCGACAATATGGTTCGGCGTTTCATGAACTCAATTCACGGCCGTTAAAGATTATTCACATGGGGGATGGGTGCAGACCTCGTTATTCTGAGCCTGTGTTTGTTGGTGGAAGCATTAGAAAGGATATTGATGATTCTGGGTTATCTGCACAGTGATATATTACAGTAACCCCAACAACACCTCTCCCTCGTCTGATCTTTAAGCCAGCAATCTTTTGGAGACTGTATAAAAAGATATACTTGAGTACCGAAAAAGGCTGCGGCTATCATCGCACTCAGCTGACTTTTATAGTCTTCCCAATGACAATGGCGTAGAAGTCACTGTTGTGAGAAGAATAGGTAGCGGTACTTTGTCCGGAACATAAGTTAAGATTGGTGTTATTCGACAAAGGTCCAGAAAAGGCACCGTTGATCTCGGTCGTCTGAGCCCATCTTTACTTATTTTCGGGTGATATATTTGTCTGATCTGAAGCAACACGTACGGTCCAGCTTGCCGGCGAGTTCCATTTTGTCTCGTAATTTGAGTATGATAAAGCCCAGGTTTAAAGATCTTCCGGGACGGATACGAATATACCATGGAATCTTCATCCTTGGAAGGGCAGGATCGCCATGAGAAGTGAATCCTTTTCGAGTACGGTATGTGAATTTTGAAAGCTCTTGATTCAAACATTCATACTTGGACTTCCGAAGTTTTGCCATTAGCTTTTATTCTTGTGCAACAGGAATCTCAGGCCATTGAGATGAGATAAGTCGCCTGCAAATATGAGAAGTCTCGAGGGAATTTCGAAGACAACTCCATGGAATAGTACAATTAGTCATCAAGGAAGAAGAAACAGAAGTGGCTTGAGTTTCAATGATTAGTCATAACGCGCATTGTTGCCTCAGGCACTACTCAAATTATTCAACCACTTACGCCTTTATCGATAAAGGAAATTCGACAACTTCATCTACCCATACAATTTTGACACCGCGGCTAAAAATTTGATATTCCCCATCTGCCATCCATCTCACAGCTCGCTGATCTCGAGTCGAAGATCCAGTTGAACGTATCTACCCCGAGTTAGAGAGTTAAAGTCGTCAACTTGTCAAATTGACATCAGAAAGCCCTTAACCTATTTGACAGCAGAGCCCCCAAGTGGCCCCCCAAACCAGCTCGCTATGGAACCAGAAATTCAGAACGCGAATCCTACAATTTTGGATGTGTCTGATATATCTCGTCGAAGAGAAAAGCGCAAGGTTCGAGATTATTCGGCCAAGAAACATGGAATTCAGAGTATATTGATGGCGAAACCCAGCTATACCATGGATCCCTTCTACATGTCAGATTTTTCAGATGAAGACTCCGATGATTCTGGTTTGGAACCAATAGATGAGCAGGAAATATATGGTAAGAATCTCAAGTTTTTCTAGTCATCTGCTACCATGTTTTCTTCAAGTCCTCGGTATATTTAGCAACCATAGCATCTATCAGATCGATGCAAATATCGGTATACATGCTTATGCCTTCCCCATTCATCCGCTACTCTACCCAGTGATATCTGGGCTACCTTAGAATCAGCATGCGCCGTCCAATTTCCACAAGTTTGCATAGCTGACGTCTAAAGATTTGATCGCACCAATTTCGGACCCTGAGCACCCTCTTTCGTTGGAGTCTCTAGGAGTAGTTAAACTTGAGGATGTGCACCTCGTTTCGCCTTCTGATCTTACAAACCCGGCAACACTCTCTCGAGTATTAGTCGAATTGACGCCAACGGTTTCACATTGTTCCCTAGCAACTGTTATTGGACTCGGTGTTCGAGTACGTTTGGAACAAGCTCTCCCGCCAAGTTACCGAGTCGAGGTCAAGATTAAGAAGGATACACACAGTCAGGCGGCAGAAGTCAACAAACAACTGGCTGATAAAGAGCGTGTTGCAGCTGCACTCGAGAATGACAACCTCATGAAATTGCTAAGGAAGATGATGAAGACCTGTCTCGACAGTCAATGATATCACAACTACAGACATGAAATTGCATAAAACTTTCTTCCCCTGTTTAGGAAAGTAGTGAATATGAGAGCCACTGCCATAAGCGAGAGGACACAAAATCACTTCCGCATTACCGGTACCCTGGTCACTCTCAAGTCACAAAGGCCTATTCCTGAGAACTGGCCTATGAATATCAAGTATCATCAGAAACAATCACAACAAGTACTAACATCCAATTTTCAGCAATCCATGTGCGTGTGCGTGCAAGCACTACAATATTGGTCGGCGGCACTGTGTTTATAAAAGAGAAACATTTAGCTGATTTTTCTATAAAGTATTGTTGACTTTGTGTCAATGTACGGTTTTCCCCAAAAGTTCAAGTGCTAATGGCATGTTAATGAAATTTGAGTAGTTTCAAATAATACTTCCCATCGTCGATCTCCACGGGTATCATAGACTCAGAGGAACCCCTAATATTTCATCCACTTCACCACAAGCGAGCTTCGTAATTCATCTTCTCATATCCAATCAATATTTACAATCCCTACTACAAAGTTACCACCAAATTCATATCTCCACAATGCAAGCTTGTTGGCCTACCAAAAGTTGAAATTTGGACAAGCCCCCATGTATTTGTGCCCACAGCGTACATCTCGTCTCCATTACTTCACGATATTCTCAATCACTCGAAACCACTCGACCCACTAGATAACCTCTTGAGTTTTGGCAGGTTACAACCTTAAATAACCATCCTGTCATCATTTATCGAAACTATGGCCTGCCTCGGTGATGGTGCAGTGGTTGAAGGGCGTCATAAGACATACGTAGGCCCACTTCTTCTCTTTCCTTTCACGGCCAATTCTTAATTTCATCTCAAGTTTCTCATTTCATCACATCACATCACATCACATCACATTGCATCTGCAAAACTGCACGACATCCAAAGCAACCCATGGATTCAGGGGCGAAGTTCGATTCGAACATTTAACATTTTCGCAGGTCCCAAAGCTCTCCACAATGAGTCCACATCAGATAAGCATAATTCTCCAAAACTCAATTTCAGCAAAAGAGAGTTTTTGGAGATCTAAAAGGTTGAAATCCGGAAATCTAGAACATTGTCAGTGATCTGTCACACGTGCGCAATATATGACCCGTCTCTTGGCCTCGTTGTAGGTTTCTTGGCCGGTCACGATCCGCGTTCACGCACGAGATTTTCACGAGGGCGGAATGGAATGTTGGATGGGTGGGTGGTGGGTGAAGGAACGTGCTATGCTTCCTTGCTGTTTCTTGGGAATCTACGGATAAGTGGAAGATTAGCAACGTCCTTCCTCTTTCTCTTAGTTTTACCCCCACGAATTCAAATCGTTTGTCCAATCAATGATCATTCATTTGCTTGCCACCCCCAACTTGTTGGTTGTATTGTCTCGAGTTATCTCCATTAAGTAATTTTTATACTTGATTTGTGATTAATGTGGGATATCTGTCCCAATTCATCAATCAGATCTTTCTATTACTGTAGCACTACATCTCATTCTCATTCTCCTTCTCCTTTTCTCTATATCCCAGCACTGCCCACTGCCCACTACCTACAAATGTAACCTCACCGGGACAAAACTTAACCCCCAATTCCTATTTATTACCCATCCATCAACTACGGTAGCATTATTACATTCTTACCCTACAATTCCAATATTTACCTAGTCCCAAACACCTAGTATGTACCAACCGCTCCCCTCAACATTGCAACCATTACACTTCTATGTTTGATTGTTGTATCTTTTGTTGGATTTATCTACGAGTATTATTGTTATCTGTTGTATAATTAGATATATAAACTAACATGCTAATTATATATTTATGTATCTAGCTCGGTGATGCCGATATGTATATACTATGTATATGTAACAATACAGTACATATGCAACAGATCCAAGAATGTGAATGGAATAGAAGCGGATACTGGATATATTACACCTGGTGGGCAGATGCGCGGATCGATCACACTTTTCTCCTTGCTTACTTTTTACAGTTGTGCAGGGGAGGGGGAGAGGGGGTAGGGGTAGGGGGAGGGGTGAGTGATCAATACCGTGGTTGAATGGCGTCTTCTTTCTTTGTAGTACGCAGATACGATGGAGGTCCATCGGATTGAATTAGATTCTAGCCATACAGATGGCATGTAATTGTAATGCGCTTTATATATAGTGTATACCTTTATCCTAGGGTTAGGCTCTTTTAGCATTACTAGAGGTGTAGCCTCCACACTATTCTCGTTTCGTGTATATCACTAGTGTTGTCAGACTGAAAAGAAGTCATTTGTTTAAAATGAGTTGCGATTCTGATTAATGTAGATCAGATCAGATCTAACTAAAAGCTTAGTATACTGATATTAAATAATCTTTC